CACCACCACTTAGTGGGCAAATGGAGGCTATTGTTGTTGCACGCGTGCGTTGACTGTACCGCTGGCTGTGGGAGTAGCCCCCGGTGGAAATGCCTTCCCTTCGTTATGCCATGTCCAGAAGACACGGGGAGGGGTGCGGTGGTGTAGCGGTCATTACGATACGCTGCGAACCCGGCGACCCCGAGTTCAATTCCCGCTCACGGCCAACAGCAGTAAACTTCGCCACGAGGGAGACAAAGGCGGACGAGCGTGGTACTGGCCACCCACTCCCTCGTGTGCCGTGCCGGCCTTCACAGGTGCCACTCGCTAGCAGCACTTTCCCCAGCAGTCTGTTAAGGCTATACGGCGGGGGTGGTACCTTTAGCTTTGTGTGCGATGGACTGCACCGCAGACATCGACGAGTGCATCCACAATGGGCAGCTGTGCCGCAACGGGCGCTGCGTCAACACCGAGGGCAGCTTCCAGTGCATCTGCAACGCCGGCTTCGACCTCACGGCGGACGGCAAGAACTGCGTCGGTGAGACCCCTCAACCCCCCAACCCCCACCAGCCCCCCCAAACCCCCAGGCACCCCGAACCCCCCCAACCCCGATAACCCACCCAATGCCCCCCCTCCCCCCTAACCCCCCCAAACACCCCCCTAACCCCCCCAACACTCCCAAGCCCACGTGGCTGCTGCTGCCTTCCGCTTATTTGTGCGCGCCACGGTGGCGAGATGTTAACTTCCTCGCCTGGTATACAGGAGATCGTGGGTTCGATTCGCGACTCTGATGCTTGTATTTTGGGAGTTTGCATGATCTCTCTCCCTGTGATCGTGTGGATTCTTCTCCGGGTCCTCCGGTTTGTCCCTCCGCATTTAGAATGAACATCGCGCGTTTGGAGTATTTCGCTGCAAAAAGTCGAATGAACGCAAATGATCGTTGTTAACATTATTATTGTTCTCCCGTGTGCGATGGAGACCACGACGAATGCGCGACGACCAACATGTGCCTCAACGGGATGTGCATCAACGAGGACGGCAGCTTCAAGTGCATCTGCAAGCCGGGCTTCTCGTTGGCGCCCAACGGCCGCTACTGCGTCGGTGCGTGCACGTGGGGCGACGCTAACGCCCCCACCCCCCCGCCCCACGGGACGCGCGCGTACACGCTTACAGCGAGCTCGACGCACACGCACGCAGACGATCGCGTACACGCCTGGCCGGGCCCACGTGCGGCGGTGGAAATGGGCCAGCGTGTACGACGGTACGCCAGACCGGAAAACTTCCCCGGAACGCCGTGTGTGTGTGCGTGCGTTCTGGCACCGTTCAGGATGGTTCCTTGTTCCCACGCCACGGCGTGTAGACGCCGGCGAGCGCGGGCTGCGCGACGAACAGGTTTCACACCGGCGCGACTGCACATTGCGACCGCTGCTCACGGGGGCTTTCTCCTGAATGGTTGTCTTATCGCAACCAACTGTGAAAGTGCGGGTCGCGCCGTGCCGCGTGCAAGACGACGCGGCGACGGATGGGATGAACAGGGCTCGCTGCGCCGCCGTGCGAGTGACGCTTGCGGGGTTTGTGCGAGGCAGACATCGACGAGTGCCAGACGCCGGGCATCTGCATGAACGGGCGCTGCGTGAACAGCGAGGGATCCTTCCGCTGCGAGTGTCCCCCGGGCCTCGTCATCGGCATGGACGGCCGCATCTGCGTCGGTGAGTCCCCCCCCTCTCCCTCCCCCTTCACCCCCTCCCACGTGGCTCGGACATTCCCCTCCATTCACGCAGCCCGCGTTTGGATGCTCCGACCGAACGTAGCCGATTCAGGTTTTTTAGTTTTTTTTGTTCAACCCTTTACTCCGCGCGCCGCTCTGCGTCCGTTTGTCAGACACGCACATGCGCAGCACGTGCTACGGCGCCATCAAGAAGGGCGTGTGCGTGCGCCCGTTCCCGGGCGCCGTCACCAAGTCGGAGTGCTGCTGCGCCAGCACGGAGCACGGCTTCGGGGAGCCGTGCCTGCCCTGCCCCGCCAAGAACTCCGGTAGCGCCGCACACCACGCGTCCCCCCGCCCACACAGCGCACGTCAGCACATGTCGGCACGTGTGAGTGCCTGTGAGCACGTGTCAGCACTCATTAGAACATGTCAGCACACATCAGCACACATCCATATTTGTCACCACGTGTCAGCCGATAGCAGTACGTGTCAGCATGTGTCAGCACACAGCAGCACACGTGCGCACGCGTCAGCACACAGCAGCACGTGTCAGCACTCAATACGAGGGTTGGTGGACCGCATCCAAATATTCTGAAACTCCCTTCCCGTGGGCGTCGAGGAGGTGTGCCACACCCTTGGATCTTCCAGGAGAACGCGGGTACAGCAAATGTGGACTCTACCCATGCTGTTTCCGTGGGATAAAGCGTTTCCCCCTCGCACACGTGGGTTTTCCCGGGTGCTACGGTTTCCTCCCACATGTAAAAACGCTCATTATTTGGCCAATAACGTCTTCATATATAGAGGACCGCAGAGCTTAGGGGGGACGAATTTTACAGCGGCTCTCTGCTTCTCTGAGAACGTTCCCGCTCATCTGTGGTTCCTCCTCGCCCCTCATTCTCCCTCTTCAACAGCCAGCATACAATGTGCGGTGGCAGCGCATCATCATCATGGACACAATCATTCAATGACACTGTGGCCCAAAAAGGAAATAACGATGACGTTAACCGGTGACGTTTCAGGCAATGGCCCTCGTTCATGGCACACCTGCTGGGCACCGCGGTGGCGAGATGTTATCTACCTCGCCTGGTATACAGGAGGTCGTGAATTCGATCCTGACTCTGACGCCTGTTGTATATTTGGAGTCTTCATGTTCTCCTTTTTGTCATGTGGATCTTTCTCCGGGTCCTCCGGTTTTGCCCTCCACCTTTAGAATCAACGAGTATTTGGCTGCTATAAATCTCCACATGATAAGCCACTTCGTTGGGCTATCGTCTGTAATTGCCTGGCCGCTTCTGAAAAAGAGCTTCATAGCTCAGTGGGCCTTACCTGGTCAAATAATTAGAGTTTTGGGTTTACCTGTCGACGCAAGGGCCATCACCCAATAAAGGGCCGTCACCTTGAATATATTTCTTTCTTTTTAGGTCCACGGTGTTGTTGACGAATACGTCGTTGTTGTTGTTGTCGTTCGTGCTCACGCACCGCCAGCCACGCAGCATCACGACCGAGACAACACACATGAGTAGACCTCCAGCGCATGATACTGTTGTACACGCGGCGTTTGTGACGCGCGTGTGCGTGACGTCTCTTGCTGTCCGATTAACAACGTGTCGCGTTTCCGCAGCGGAGTTCCAGTCCTTGTGCGGCAGCGGCCTCGGCATCACGGCCGACGGCAGAGGTGGGTTGACCGAGCGATCGACGGCAGCAAAGGGGCAGGAGGGGGGGGGGGAGTTCCTCGGCAGCAGAGAAAGCCCCCGCTGCCTCTTGCGACCCACGGCGATAAAAACATCACCCCTCGCCTCAGACGCGTTCCTAATTAGGTTTTTGCCGTCGCGAAGTTCCGATGTGAACTGGGCCGCTGGGAGAGAGGAAACCCGACCCTGAACCGTGTCAGCTGATCGTTTAAACCCCAGTTTTAGGGGGATGGTGGTGGGTAAAACTCTCATTATGACCGCAGTCAACCTTCAGTGGAAGACTGGAAGCCCAAAGGGAAGGCCGAGAGGCTTGACGCATCCTCCGTCCGTGCAGCGAAATGTGGTGATGTCACCAGAATGCTGTGACGGAATACCGGACTATATTGGGTAACGCCTGACTACGCTTAAAGTCTTTTTGTTGTTGTTTTCATGTCGTGAATGAAACTTCATGTTTGCGCTGGACAGCCAGGGAGTGCTAGGGAATGTAACTGCTTGAAGAGGGCAGCAGCGCACCTGAAGGGGTTTGTGGGCCAGTGGGACATGGTTTGGGCAAGAGGCATTGCCCGCCTTTCACTCAGACAACTGTCGAGCACACATATCCTGGGACCTTTTTCTGCCGGCATCAAAGCTTGACCCTTTCTGGCAATAAAACAGGAGTCGTTAAGATGCTCAAACACCAAGTATGCATAGCTCGAGGTAATGCGCTGATACCTGCATTGTTTGCCGGTTGGCGTTCTCTGGTCTGACGCTGTGAGACGAGGCCATACAGAAGGCTGCGCTCTCTGGTGTAGGCCAATCAGTTTCCAAGTCAATGCCATAAATAATGATCAGAGCATGTTTGTTTGTATGTTTTGGCGCAAGTGCGTGCGGTTAACGCAGACCTGATGTCTTTGCAGAAGGTATTTATTTGGTCTTTGAACATCTTAACACCTGTTTTATTGACAGAAAGGGAAAAACCTATTCTTATTTTTTTATGCTGTAGAGCACACACTTAGATAATTGTTGACTTGTCAATAACGCGCTGTAAAAAATTACAGGTTTCCCTCACTTTACGTGGGTTTGTGAGATTTCGCGAATATGCGGTTCAACCTATTTCTACCCAAAATTCGCTATATCGTGTGATTTTAATTCACTCAGATGCGGCTATGCGTTCGGACGTGGGACAACACTGTTTGTGAACTGTGTGTCAGAATCAGATTATTATTTATACCGGAGAGTCTGACGAGCTACAAAGCTACTTGGCAGGCAGCCGGTCTAGCTTACCGTTGTACATGGGGCCCATTGGGCTTTTTTTTTTAAGCCTCTACCGCATAACGCGAGGAAAAAACCTGTATACCGTGAAAAAGAATTCAAATAACTTGGTTGAAAAATGGAAATCGAATCAATGAGTCACGAACTGTCTTAGTCACTATCCCACCGTGCGTCGTCTCAAGCGGGTGGGATTCCGTGGGCGCGTGGGGCGGAGGAGGCAATGGCGGTCGTGCGTGTGGGGAGCGGTGGTTCAGTGGTTAGCACACTGCACTACGAATCCAGCAACCCAATTTCGATTTCCACTCTCGGCCACCAACAGTGGCGATTATCTCAACTATTTCCCTGGCCTCCCCTAGGTCGATTCAGCCTCAAATGAGCACCTGGTGTGGTGTGTAAACATCGCCACTGGGGAGACAAATGCGGTCGGGCGTGGTGCTGGCCACCCACTCCCTCGTGTGCCGTGCCAACCTTCATAGGTGCTCGCAAACAGCACTTGCCCCAACAGTCTGTTAAGGCTACACGGGGGATATGTGTCTTTGTGCGGTGGCAGATATTAACGAGTGCGCCCTGGACCCGGACATCTGCCCCAACGGCATGTGCGAGAATCTGCGAGCGACCTACCGCTGCATGTGCAACTCGGGGTACGAGTCGGACATCTCCGGCAAGAGCTGCGTGGGTGAGTCACCTCGGCCAATCGCCTCCGACCACCGCTGCTACTGCTGCTGCCGCCCACCGCATTAAGTCTGCCCATCACTAGCCAACTGCGGTGGACCCAATTGAACCGCTGGGTAGACAGAGGCTGTGGTGGGGGCATACTTACCAAAACTAGCACCATTGTATCAACTGGGCACCATGGTGGCGAGATGTTAACTACCTCTCCTGGTATACAGGAGGTGGCTGTATATTTGGAGTTTGCGTGTCTCTCTACCCATGGTTGCGTGGATTTTTCTCCACGTGATAAGCCACTTTGTTGGACTATTATATGTTGCTTCTGAAAAAGAGCTACATCGCTCAGTGGGCCTTACCTGGTAAAATAATAAATAGTTTATATACAGAGCATTATTGCGTTCCCGACTTACGAACCGTTCATAAGTTGCCAAAACGACGAAACGGGCCTCGGGAACGGAACCCGTTCGTGAGTCGGGCACTGCCCGTAACTTACATTCAGCTCGCGATCGATGAGCGGTCGCGTCGGCTTGCGTTGGGTCGTGAGCGCTGCGCGATGTGCCCGAGGTTCCCGGTGGCGACCCGGGGCGGACGTGAGCACTGAGCAGAGCGAGAGGGGGCGGCGGTGGCGTGGGGGTTAACGTCGCCTTGCTCGCCCGCAGACGTGGACGAGTGCTCGCGCAACTCGCTGCTGTGCGACAACGGGCTGTGCCGCAACACGCCGGGCAGCTACTCCTGCTCCTGCCCCACCGGCTACGTCTTCAACTCCGAGTCGGAGACCTGCGAGGGTAACGCTTCGCCACGCACGGGGGACGAAGACCCCCCCCCCCCCCCCCGCGTGGCCTTTACGCACCGTGGGGGTGAGCGGGTAACGGCCGATGCATGCGGCCATCGCCGCCGACGTCCCTCGCGCCGACGATGAGATTGTCCCCGTGACCCCCCCTCCCCATCCCACCGCACCCCCGAGCAGACGTGAACGAGTGCGAGGGGGGCCCGTGCGTGAACGGCGTGTGCAAGAACACGGCGGGCTCGTACGTGTGCGAGTGCTCCATGGGCACCAAGGTGGACGCCACGGGCACCGTGTGCATCGGTGAGCGAGTCGGGGCCGCACCGCGGAGCCAGACGACTCAACGCCCCCCCCCACTACCACTTCCCTAAGGAGGGGGAGGAGGCATCATCAGAGCGACGATAGCCTTAGCAGACACACGTACACACACACACGAGCACAAAGACAAAGATCACCCGTGTAGCCTTAACACACTCTTGGGGCAAGTGCTGTGAGCGAGTAGCACCTATGAAGGCCGGCACGGCACCCGAGGGGGCGGGTGGCCAGCACCACGCCCGACCACCTTTGTCTCCCCAGTGACGATGTTTACTACACACCGCACCAGGTATTTGTTTGAGGCTGCGTAGACCTAGGTGAGGCCCAGGACCGGTTCAGATAATCGTCACTGATGTTGACCGTGAGCGGGAATCGAACCCGGGTGGCTAGTTTCGTAGCGCAGCATGGTGCTAACCACTACATTACCACGCACACACCCACAAGTACACACACACACGCACATGTGCACATGCACACGTACACACACACGTGCACACACACGCGCACACACACGCACATGTGCACATGCACACACACGTGTGCATACACACGCACATGTGCGTGTGCATACACACGCACATGTGCACATGCACACACACGTGCACACGCACACGTGCGCACACACAGACGCACATGTGCACACACACAGACGCACGTGTGCACACACACACACATGTGCACACACACGCGCACACGTGCACACGCACACACACCGCCCTTTGTGTCGCAACTACTGCCTGCAGTTCGGCTTAAAGGGAGAGAGAGGAGACCTTTTGAGCCGTCGTAAGGGGACAGCGACTGCTATGAGGCTTCCCCGCCTTGCTCGGCAACTCGGTTGCTCTGGCACGTGCAGCAGTGCGACCTCACCGACTCGCGTCTGTGTTGTGATGACGCTTGCCGTTGTTTGTGAGCTTTGGTTTGGTGCCATTTCTGTTTGTTACATTTTCATTTTGTTTGGAAGTCGGGGTTTTCGTTTGCTTCGTAGTGGCTGTACAGTGGAACTCCCTCCTCCTAACGAAGGCGATTGGTTCCACGAAGCCGGTCGCGAAGTGATTTGGTCGTTAAGCGAGCGTAGGAAATGCGCGTTAAAGGCTTCATTCGCTCTGATGACATCGAAAGTTACCCCCTTTGGCACCCAAAAAACGTACTTTATAATATTTAAACAATGGATGCTATTACATAAAGATACTAACACCATTATAAACACATGATATTAAAATAAGCACGGTTAATCAATGCATTAATTAATATGTACTGTACCTACAACAGCCAGTCATTAACAGGGGAATGGTCGGGAAGTGAACACATTAGGCTCTATGGAGGCACTACACTATACACTGCACTGCTATACAATACACTATGCACTACACTACTATACTATACTCTACTATACTCTACACTTTACTATACACTACTCTACTATACTCTAAACTACACTATACACTACACTATACACTACACTACTATACTATACACTACACTATACACTACACTACACACTACTATACACTACACTATACACTACACTACTATACACTACTCTACTATACTCTACACTACACTATACACTACACTATTATGCACTACTTTACTATACACTACACCAGAGGTGTGGACTCGAGTCATGTGACTTGGACTCGAGTCAGACTCGAGTCATGAATTTGATGACTTCAGACTCGACTTGGACTTGCATAACAATGACTTTGTCCCACCTCTGCACTACACTACTATACATTACACTATACACTACAATACACGACACTACTATACACTACACTATACACTACTATATTAAGCTCATTATCTTTGTGTCTGTAAAATATAACTTTGTAATTGCTGGGTGGGCGGAGACAATGGGGGGGGGGGGGGGGGGTTTGGGGGATTTTGATCGTTACCGCTGACCTGACCGACGACGTCTTTGGGTGTGTGTTGTGTGTCTTGGTGCTTTGTCGGTCCTCGTTTGGCTATGCGCATATCTGCACGTCTGTACGTACTCGATGTGGTTGTCCGTGTGTGTCTGTGTGTGCTTGTGTGTATCGGTTTGCACTACATCGGGCGTGTATGCCTGCTTGTGTATCGTGTGCGTCTGCCGCTGTGTGGCGTGTGTTTGTGTCTTGGCGCGTGTGTGTGTGTGTCTATGCATGGCTACTTGTGTGCACCTACCTGTATTACGTGGGTATGTTTTTGTGGGTGTTTCTTGTGTGTCTGAACGTGTATGCCTGTTTGTACCTGTATGTGTCTGTCTGCATTTCTGTCCGCATGACTGTCTGCACGTCTGTCTGCGTGTTTGCATGCACATCTGTTTGCACATTTGTCTGTCTGCACGTCTCCTCTGCATGTCTGTCTGCTTGTCTGTCTGCTTGTCTGTCTGCATGTCTGTCTGCTTGTCTGTCTGCATGCCTGTCTGCTTGTCTGTCTGCATGCCTGACGGCACGTCTCCTCTGCGTGTCCGTCTGCGTGTCTGTCTGCATGCCTGTCTGCATGTCTGTCTGCTTGTCTGTCTGCGTGTCCGTCTGCGTGTCCGTGCGGCGTCGTCCCCCTTGGCGCGTGCCTCGGGCCCGCAGACAGCATCAAGGGCACCTGCTGGATGCAGATCCTGGACAACCGCTGCGAGGTGAACATCAACGGCGGCACCATGAAGTCGGAGTGCTGCGCCACGCTGGGGGCCGCGTGGGGCAGCCCATGCGAGCCCTGCGAGCTCGGTAAGCCGCCCACGGCGCTGCCCCGCGGCTCCTCCTCTGACGACGACGTCGCCGGGGGGTTTTGCTGCCGTGGTCCCGGCGATTCGGGGGGTCGGGGACACCGAGCCGGCGGTTGTCGCCCGGGTCCTCGGGTGCGAATCCGGGATCGCGGCCGGATCGTCTCCGCCGGGTGCCACGGTGGCGAGGTGTTAACCCGCTCGCCAGGAGAAGGCGTACAGCAGATGTAGACTCCGCTTGTGCGGTTTCCATGGGATAGGGTGTTTCCCCCTCGCACGCAGGTGTTACGGCTTTCTCCCACGCGTAAAAATACTCGGGGTGCCGCGGTGGTGAGATGTTAGGAGGTCGTGGGTTCGATCCCAGCCTTGACGCCTGTATATTTGGAGTTTGCATGTTCTCCCCATGGTCGCGTGGATTTTTCTCCGGGTTCTCCGGTTTTTCCCTCCACATTTAGAAACACACGTTTAGAGTATTTGACTTCTATACATATCCACGTGATAAGCTACTTTGTTCGAGCTCTCATTTGTGAAAAAGAGGGCTCGCATTAAAGAGGGCCTCGCGTAAGAGAGGGCCTCACAACGGGCCTGGTTGTGTCGCCGGTGAATAAGCGTGGACCCCGCGTGGCCTTCGGTCTCGGGGCCCTCTCGCCCTGCGCCTCCAGGGGCCTCTGGGCGGTGCCGTATAGAAGCGGTTTTTGTCACGTTATTTTCTGTGGGTTGTTTGCGAGCTAGCGGGAGATTTTCGGTTTCTTCGCCGTGCGAATTGGAGCCCGTTTTTGGGGGAAAGGCAAAAACTATAAAGTAAAAAAAAAGAGTACGGTAAATGAGATAATGTCAGAAAAAAATGCATGAAAGAGAATATTTTTTTCCTTGTGGATTTTTTTAATTAACTTTCTTCTAAATGTCATTAAATATTTATATTTCTAGAAAATAGACTGGCTTATGTAAGTCATTTATATTGTTAATACATTATTATTACTATACATCATTGCAGATATAATTATTGATATATTTTTGGGCTCTGGCTTATAAAGGTCATAAAACATGTATATAGATAAAAGACTGACTCATGTAAGTTATAACAATTGCATAAATTACCGTGCGTTCTGATCGTCCGTCTGTTTGGCGCCACACAGACCCCGCCTGCCCGCGTGGCTTCTCCCGCTCCAAGAGCGTCAACTGCGAGGGTGAGTGTCCTCGGGACTTGTCGAGGCTTCTTCAGCGTTCTCCACGGCGACGGGGCCCCTTGGCGCGGCTCCCGGTGGCCGTTGCTGAACGAGAGTCGAAGTGATTTCTTGCTCAGATGAGTGATCGAGGCAGCGCTCATCCCCTATTGACAGTCCTCGGTGGCAATGCCTCGTTACTATGATGGGGGCGAGTCTGTGTATAAGACAGCCGCGGTTGACTTCCCCACAAAGTTGTACTTATTTTATCGACCCCAAATTGACGATGATGATGTGCTGAATGAACCACCAAACGCCAATCTCACGTGGCAGTGGCTGAACACGTGTGAAGCATTGTTACGTGATCTGGAATCAATAATGCAACCGCATCCGCACAAACCATGGCAGATACCTGACATGCACAAATGGAAATTAAAACCTCCCCAGTGTGCGACTGCGTTCGTCCAGAACACACCGCGCAACGTATGATGACGCAATGCCCGATCCACACATACGAAGGAGACATCACAGCGATACATTCCGCTGCTCCTGACGCGATTAACTCCCTGGCTTGACCACCTGGATGTGACATTGGAGTTGTGGCTCTGCATCCACATCAGCCGGACAAAAGAAAGGAACGAGTAACGCAACCTTGAATTCCTTGGCATTTAATTGGCAAAAGCACGCTGCAAGAGGTTTTGGCAGCGTGGTTAGAGCCACCACTGTGCACGTTACACATTGCCTTCACCTACAAGCCTCTCATACTGAGCATGGCTACATCTGAAACGACAATAATAATCGGCACGTGTACACGCTTGCACACTATGACCACGTCGGGTGGTGGAGGGCCTTATAATGACACAAATTTGGCCGGACCGTTGTTTGGCGCATGTCGGACGTGTCGCCGTGTGTGCGTGTGTGTGTGCGTGTGTGTGCGTGTGTGCGTGCGTGTGTGTGTGCGTGCGTGTATGCGTGCGTGTGTATGCGTGTGTGTGTGCGTGTGCGCATGCGTGCATATGCGCGTGTGTGCGTGTGTGTGCGTGTGTGCACGCGTGTGTGCGTGCGTACGTGTGTGCGCGTGCGTGAGTGTGTGCGTGCGTGTGTGCGTGTGTGTGTGTGCGTGTGTGCGTGCGTGTGTGTGTGTGTGCGTGCGTGTGTGCGTGTGTGTGTGTGCGTGTGTGCGCGCGCGCAGACGTGAACGAGTGCGACGTCTTCCCGGGCGTCTGTCCCAACGGGCGCTGCGTGAACACCCCCGGCTCGTTCCGCTGCGACTGCCCCCAGGGACTGATCCTGGACGGCACGGGACGCACGTGCGTGGGTGAGAGACTCCGCGTTTGCACGCAGCCCCCCCCCCCCGCGCGCGCACAAACGACACGCCAGCGACGGACATTCCTTTTTCCACCGGCAGAGGTTTAAATCGCGTGGCTCTGCCTATGCCGCACGCGACTCCTGGCGACGCTTTCTGCAAATGTTGGGCAACATCTCGTGTTCTCGATTTTAAGTTTTTGCTATTTTATTTACCAGGTCAAGCCCACTGAGCTAATAGTTATTTTTCAGAGCCGACCTGGTCACACGTAATAGTTCATCGAAGTGGCTCATATCATCATCGCACGCGGGGATTTATAGTCGCATCCAAATTATCTAAACGCGTGGAGATTGTAAATGTGGAGATCCCAGAGAAAAATTCACGCGACCACCACGGAGATAGAGAGAACACAGGGATAGAGAGAACACGGGGATAGAGAGAACACGGGGATAGAGAGAACACGGGGATAGAGAGAACACGGGGATAAAGAGAACACAGGGATAGAGAGAACACGGGGATAGAATGAACACGCGGACTCCAAACGTACAACGGCCTTCGTCAGGGTCCCGGGGTGGGTCTGCAATTGTATTTGCAAATAATCATAATTTAATTGTATATAACATCTTACCACGTAGGCTTTCGCGACCAATATCATACATAATATAGGTTTTTTTTTGGGTTAGGTCGCGTAAATATATAAATGTGTCGTTAAAACCCGCCACCACCCGACACAGCCAATTAGTAACTAGCATGCCTATACAGGCCACCATATTTCAATAGGGATTACCGTTGGTACGGATATTTTAATACACAATAGACAGGAAGGCCAAAGATCAAAGGGCTCGCATAACGCACATGCATAATGTACGTTGACTCATTAATACCCCCCCCCCCCCCACTTTGCGCAAGAGCGCAGAAGCGTGGTCACCACATCTACGCCGCTATATAAGGAACGAAACGGTTAGACTTCTCCACAAATCTGGCTGTTGCCTGATGAAGCTAGTTGTAATTACTGGCGAAACGTCGTACTCAGATTGTAAATGTTGTGGCTTGGCTCTCCAACACACCGGTTAGTGCTGTACTAGTATACTACACTATACACTACATTAGTGCTGTACTCGTGACGAATTGGCCACTTTCTGTTTACGTGACAACCTTTACTTGTTGGCTGTGTCGGGTGGTGGCGGGTTTTAACGACACATTTATATATATAGCATCATTCGTGCTAATTGCATCCCACAGCTCTGTACATCCCACAGCTCTGTACATCCATTGAATATAAACAGAGAAGCGTCTCTTTTTCCCCACACGTCCGATTAGCACGGTTGGCCACGTACTGTGCAGAAGAAGTTCAACACACTTACACACGTACGCACACAGTACATCTGCTATCGCCTCATAACGATTCTAGCAAGGGGCGGCCGCAGTGCCGAGAAGCGCGGCGCTTGGGGGGCGAGACCCAAAAAGAGCCGACGCTAAACGTAACCGAATGTTGTTGCCGCCGCCGCTGCCGCCGCCACGACGGCACGGCGAAGACCTCCGTCTGGAGCAGTGCTTCCTGGAGTGGGACGAGGAGGAGTGCGAGCGCCCGCTGGGCCGCATGCGTATGGACGCCTGCTGCTGCTCCGTGGGGGCGGCGTGGGGCGCCGAGTGCGACTCGTGTCCGCCGGCCGGCACCAAGGAGTTCGACGCGCTGTGCCCACGCGGGCCCGGCTACGCCAACCGCGGGGACGTGCTTACGGGACGGCCCGTCTTTAAAGGTGAGGCGGGCGGGCGGGCGGGCGGGCGGGGGGGGCTAGAAAGCGCCAGCGTGTTTCGTTGACAGCACCACCGTGCGTGGCCTTGCGAGAGAAAAATACAAAGTTTCGGCCGACGGTCCTACTCCACACACGGTGTCGTTGACAGTTGAGTTTTTCCGTTGTTCGTGCTTGTTATTGAAATGGGTGCGGCAACCTGTCCCGGGCCTCTGTTAAGGCAGCCAGGCCTGCGCCGCTCTCCCGATTGCCAGGCCAGCATTACCTGTTGCTCGCTACGGGCACTTCTCGATGGCTCTCAGTGCTCGCTGCGGGCCAAGTCCGGTTCCAGCTACTCGCCAGCAACGCAGCAGCAGCAGCTTCAGCAGCAGCACATCACCACCAGATAATCCCATTGTCGGGCCACAGAGCTTGGTGCAATCGTCGGCGTTGGTTTTGGCTGCCTCGCCTGTGGATTCACGCACCTCTCAATCCCTTTCTCTCGAAGAGCGAATTAAAAATGCGCGGCGCCTTACAGATCCAAAATAAGAATTCATTATAACGATTATGAAATGGTGGGACTCCAGCGTGGAAAGCACTGCCGTTTAAATTCTCTGCGATCCACCCCCAGCCAGGCCTACAGAATACGGGAAAAAAAATCAAAGCCCCAATCACCGATCGCCCGAGTGATCAATCGAGGTTGCTCACTTGACATTCGTACTCTTGCGGCAGCGTGCGCCGTGCGCGGCTATTATTTTTTATATTACCAGGTTGAACCGCGCGACGTCTGAAGGCCCCTTTCTGTTAGTGGAAGCTTGACAAGCGATGGGCGACAGCTGCTGCATCAGGCAAACGAAGGAGGCTTGGCGTAAGGGAATCTTGGCGTAGGAATGGGACGTTCGGCCAAAGGTCTCACGTTTAATTTGTGTAACCAGGTGGGAACTCAAGAAACACGGACGAGTCTCGTTTGCAAAAGGGAACCTGGGTCAACAAAAATGAAACAAGCGAGCAAAACAAAGTACAGCGATGAAGGAAAGCAATCGGAACAAAAACAACATATAGACGATAAAACACTATTGAATGACATGAATACAGTTGTTGAGCTGTTCAAACACCAAATAGACACCTATGACAAGGCATCAAGTAAACTATTTTTATTTTACCAGCTAAGGCCCACTGAGCTATCTAGCTCTTTTTCAGAAGCTATCACGAAAGATAGCTCAACGAAGTTGCTTACAACAACGTGGGAATGTAAAGCAGCCAACTGCTCCACGCGACCGCGGCCAAAACATGAAAACTCCAAACATACAGCAGGCGTCAGGTTTGGGATCGAACCCACGACCTCTCGCATGCCGGACGAGGTGGTTAACATCTCGCCACCGCGGCTTCCGGCGTCTGGGGAATGCGGCGCGCGTTGTCGCTCCGCCACGGATCGTTAAGCTCGCCCCAGTCGCCGGTAACGCATCATCATCCACACCTCGTCAACGACGAGGGGCTGACCGGATGGCGGGAGGGCAGCTGCCCCGCAGAGGAATCCCCCCATACCCCCCTCCCCCATCCCCTCCTCAACCCCCCCCACTGTTCCTTTTCGGCTGAAAATAAAAGGGTTTTGTCAAAAGGAGGGAAAAAAATGGAGACACGTGCACACATACACATCTACACACACATCTACACACACATCTACACATATCTACACAAAGATAAGGATCCCCCGTATAGCCTTAACAGACTGTAGGGGCAAGTGCTGTTAGAGAGCACCAATGAAGGCCGGAACGGCACACGAGGGGGTAAGTGGCCAGCACCACGCCCGACCGCCTATGTCTCCCCAGTGGCGATGTTTACACACCGCATTAGGTACTCATTTAAGGCTGAGTCGACCTTGGGGAGGCCCAGGATCGGTTCAGATAATCGTCACTGGTGTTAGCCATGAGCGGGAATCGAACCCGGGTCACCAGGTTCATAGCGCAGCACGCTAACCGCTACACTACCGCTCCCCACTAACATCTACACACACACACATCTACACACACACACATCTACACACACACACATCTACACACACCTACACACATCTACACATATATACACACATCTACACACATATACACACATATACGCACATAGACTCATAACAAAGACAGAGATCCCCCACATAACCGTATAGCCTTTAATTGACTGGCGGGGCAAGTGTTGTTAGCGAGCACCATGCACAAAAGACAAAGATCTCCCGTGTAGCCTTAACAGACTGTTGGGGCAAGTGCTGTTAGCGAGCAGCTATGAAGGCCGGCACTGCACACGAGGGGGTGGGTGGCCAACACCACGCCCGGCCGCCTTTGTCTCACCAGTGATGATGTTTACACACCGCATTAGGTACTTATTTGAGGCTGAGTTGACCTAGGGGAGGCCAAGGACCGGTTCAACATAATCGTCACCGGTGCTGGCCGTGAGTGGGAATCGAACTCGGTTTGCCACGTTTGTAGCGCTAACCGCTGCACCACCGCTCCCCACACACACACAAAGACAGACAAAAATAAGAGATTCCCCGAAAGCCATACACAAACAAAGACAAAGATCCCTCGTATAGCCACACAAAAACCCACGCCATATGCACAACAAGTGACCCTTCTGCCTCCCTGCGGCCAAACCACAGCCGTCCGCGAGGCCTTCCCACTCTCGTCGCCAACCACTGCCGCCGCACCGACAGCTCGGAGCTCCCGGTTCCTTCGTTGGCGAAAAGGGCCCCATCTGTTGTGCGGGGCACACGCGGAAGATTAACTCGAGGTCCACCCCCCCCCCCTCGTCCTTCCTATTCCCAGTCCGAAGGACTGCGGCGTGCCGGCCAATGACACAAGGACTCACGCGTGGCATTCCAGTGGGCGGTGGTCGCATGCGGCGTACGCAGCGAGCCATGGCAGTGGGTGCCAGGCGCCTGCTCGTTCACACGGAGAGCATCGGCGTGAGCCTTGAACATGAGCACGCTTTGATTTCACCGAATGCGATTTCGGCGGCGTTTTCTCGTTTTATTTATTTACGAAAGCAGCCGATCGGAGCCGGTGCAATTATCGGCGATTAAATAATCGTCCATCGTTGTTTGCGCATGTGGCGCGCTGCGCTCGTTCACCCTCGCTCGCTCGCTCCCGGCGAGCCGGAGCTCGCTGCACAAACAACCGTCTGTCGGCCGTCGGTGCGCCGCGCGCACGCGTGGGGCCGCAGCCGCCGCGTCGGCCCGTGCCGCTGTCTTCGCCCCCGCGGGGACTCCGCCGACCGCCGCTGCTTTGTTCACTTAAACGCAAACCGCCTCTGCCGCCCCTCGTTCAGCCGCGAGCCGTCGCCGCCGTCGCCGCGCTCTCACACCCGTTGCATCCCACCACCCCCCCCACCACCTTCCCGCTTCTGCCCACAGACGTCAACGAGTGCAAGACGTTCCCGGTGCTGTGCGCGCACGGGAAGTGCCGCAACACGGTGGGGAGCTTCCGCTGCAAGTGCGACGGGGGCTTCGCCCTCGATGCAGAGGATCGCAACTGCACAGGTGGGGGGGGGGGGGGGCGGCGGTGCTAGAATGGGGCCGCCCGGCGGGCCCTCGAGGCGCGGCCGCTGGAGGCCCATGGCAGCAGAACGCCTCGTCGGGGGGCGCCCTTCTCCGCGAGTGACGACAAACCAGGCCCGTTGCGTGGCCCTCTTTTGTGTGAGTCCCAGGGAAATTTTCCCCCCTGTCGCCCTCCCCCCCCGTGCTCGTCTATCGGGGGGGGCCCTAAAATCACCGCCCGTAGGCCCTGCAGGTAATCTGTGTGGAGCGCACGTGTGCGAGGTGAGCGAGCGTGTGTGCGGTGCGTTTTGGGTGTATTGTAAGCGAGTGTGTGGGAGGCAAAGGCTTTGCGTTGCCTCCACAGAGCGGCGTCTGTTCACGTGCACCGGGGAAAAAATCAACAATGGACGCTTCTCAGATTCAGGGTCCGAAAGGCCGCGGGTATTCAACCTTCTCCCGACAAAAAGCCCCTTACAGAGGCGATGCTTGATGATTGATTACGTTGCATTTGGCTTCAGGAGTAGAAAAAAAAACAGATGACTGGCACCCAGCCTGGCACCGAGCCTGGCACCGAGCCAGGCACCCAGCCTGGCACCCAGCCAGGCACCCAGCCTGGCACCCAGCCTGGCTGTAGAAGAGCACTGAAGAGTCGGAACTGGAGACATTGTCCGTTCTGTGCTGAGAGCAGTGATGAATTTGCAACAACTAAAAATCAAAGCCTCTAAGGTTGCTGTCACCTACAGCACATTGGGCATATCAGTTTGAGTGTGGGACAAGGATAATAAAAAATAATATCTCAGCACGCCTCCAAAAGAGAATGTATTGAGGGTGCCAGCATACAAAGCCCGCTGCAGTATCTCACCCGGGAGACCACGTAATCGTGCCACCCACGTAATTACCGATCGTTATGAATTATTAAATATTTTGGCATCATTTGCGTGTGAAGGTCTGGCTGGCAGAGGCGGCTCGTTTAAAGTATTTGAAAATTGCAGGGGCGTGCTGGTGCCCTTGGCAGGCACTTCCACTTGCCCTGCCGCGCGCGCCACCCTCCCCCTCCGCCCACACCCACCCGGTCGCGCTGTCCGGGCCGCCGTTACAGAGCTGCTGCCGCCGTGGGCCAACAGAGCTCCATTGTGTGGGTCGTCGTCTGCGCAGTCAAAATTGGCCGACCCGTGTATAAATATTGAGCGTTGTAATTAATGACCGCGCCAACAGCGGGCGCGCACAGGCAAGCGGACGAGCCGTTGAGAGGCGGGGCAGCGGTATGTACGTACGTATGTTGAACTTCTTTCGTACCGTACGTAGCCAATCGTGCTAATCGGAGGTGCGGGGTGAAGGCCAACAAACTAAACACGTAAAGCAGTTTTGAAGAAATTAGTTTTCAACCTCGATGTTCTAAATGTGCATAGCTCCAGTGGCTTCTTAATATCGGAAGGAAGGGCGTTCCAGACGGCCGCAGAAGCAGCGCACCTGAAAGGGCGTGCGATGCCGGTGACCGTCTTTGTTCGGTGGATGGCCAAAAGGGGCACACTGCACCCATGTGTTCTTAGCACTTACGAAAAAATAAATGGCCCAGACAGCTCCCCTACAATTGATAGCAGGGCCACTCCTCGGCGTCTTGGGGTTAGCGCGACGTCAACGACGCAGCCGACTCCAGCCGTTGAGTCGTGCTGCTCGTCTGAGAATGAATGAAAGAGATGAAATGAAGTCGAAATGAAGTCGAAATTAAGTCGAAATGAAGTGAGTAAATGAAGTCATGAATGGTCCATGAATTAAATACAAATATGCCAGCGTACTTGGCTCTGGAAAGGTGGGCAAATCTGCAGTGTACACTATGCAGCCAGGTTAAGAGGAGGTATTTGCGATAGATTAGCTGCTATGGTAGGAAGTGCAAAAAATTAATTTTAGGTTTATCATTAATTTATGTTTTCATTAGTTTACCCAGGAGCGCCTCACCGAGTCTCAAGACTCTTTTTTCAGGAGGGTGCTGCCACGTCTCTTTCTCAGCGGCAGGGCGAGTCGCTGTGGGTTTCCCAGTCGAGTCATTTACGAGTAAAACATTTTTCAAGTTTGGCAAATGCGGACATGGACACCCAGCGGATCTTAAACGCCGTCCGCTGTGAAGCAAACGGCGCGAGGCTATCATTTTTGTGGTCAACACACAGCGGCGACGTTAACCACGGTGTCCTGCCGGATTCGAACCTTGGAGACCCCTTGAAGACAATCGCCACCCACACGACTTCGTTTGGTGCAACAAAATAACAACAACAATAATAATCCCGTGAGCGGAACATTCCTGGGGCGTGGGGCAGCGCCGTCGCCGCCGTCGTCTGCTTGCTGAACGCATTCCACGTCTGTCCACACGCCCATCAGCTGCCAATTTAACGCTCGTAACAAATAAATGAATAAGCCGGCGAATAAATGCAACGGAATACAAGTTACTTGGCCAGTGACACATTTGGCAATTGTCCGTGATCGGTGCGTTATGTGAAAGAAGAAAGAGCGTCGCTGTTAAGTAATTACGCTGCGTGTGTGTGTATATAAGTGGAAATTGAAACCTGAGTTTCAACATCGCTTAAACATCCAGCTGAGTGATATTTTCCTCGAAGTTATTATGGCCCCAGTGACATTTGTAGCTTGAGCTGTTGTGTGTCTTTTAGCAGTCGAGGTTGACCTTAAACACCCTCTTTGTGGATCTTTCACAGAGCCATTACGCGCGCACACAGCACGCGCACACTGTTTACTTGTGCTCCGTTTTGTGTGGTCTGCCAAGGCCACGAGTGTCATTACCGCACACAGGAAGCCAGTGTTTTCATCTCGGATGGTGTGCCTCGGATTTCAGGTGGTGGGTGTGTGGGGGGGGGGAGCGGTGGGGTAGTGGTTAGCGCTACTCTATGAACCTGGTGACCCGGGTTCGATTCCCACTAAAGGCCAACTCCGGTGATGATTATCTGAACCGGTCCCGGGCCTCCCCTAGGTTGACTCGGCCTCAAATGAGTACCTGGTGTGGTGTGCAAACATCGCCACTGGGGAGACAAAGGCGGTCGGGCATCGTACTGGGCACCCACCTCCTGGTGTGCCGTACTGGCCTTCATAGGTGGTCGCAAACAGCACTTGCCCCAGCAGTTTATTTAGGCTATATCCTCAGATGATGCATAAACCAGTCATCTCCGTCAATTAACCTATAACACCTGGGTCTGTCCCATGACCTGCCACAAGGCCTCAAAGTTTACCTAGCCTGGCACGGGTGCCGCTGTGACGTCACCATCAATTAGTAATGAATGGACATTGTGATAGTGGTGCTGATGATGATGATTTCGATGGTGCTGCTGATGATTGTGATAGTGATGCTGCTGCTGACGATGATTGTGATGGTGTTGCTGGTGATTGCGATGGTGCTGCCGCTGTTGTGACGGCCACGGCAGGCGGTGTTGATGCTGTGGTCCCTCTTGCGCCCGCTCAGATATCGACGAGTGCCGGATCTCCCCGGACCTGTGCGGGCACGGTGCGTGCGTGAACACGCCCGGCAGCTTCGAGTGCGAGTGCTTCGAGGGCTACGAGAGCGGCTTCATGATGATGAAGAACTGCATGGGTATGCCCCTGTGCGCAGCACGCTATCACCCTCGGGGCGACGTCACACCGTCACGTTTCCCCTTCGATGTTTTAACGCTCCGCAAGCGCCAAAACAAACAAAAAATTATTAGTTTCTTCCTTTCCTGCAGAAACGTAAATTGTCGAGCTTAACGGCAGCTAAAATTTGTCCGTAGCAATTCCTCTTCCGCCGTAACGTTATGAGCGGGCTGCGCGGAGAACACGTGCACGCGCGGGGATCTTTCTTCTTACGGTGGGTACTGGCCGCCTCGAACCGGTACTGACCGCCTCGAACTGGTACTGGCTGCCTAGAATTGGTACTGGCCGACTCGAACTGGTACTGGCAGCCTCGAACTGGTACTAGCTGCTTCGAACTGGTACTGGCCGCCTCGAACTGGTACTGACCGCCTCGAACTGGTACTGGCTGCCTAGAACTGGTACTGGCAGCCTCGAACTGGTACTGGCCGCCTCGAACTTGTACTGGCAGCCTCGAACTGGTACTGGCAGCCTCGGAGTGTTCCCAGGGTCCCCGCGCGTGCGATGATCTTTTTTTATAGTATTACCAATCTGTCCCGTTTGGTGCCAATGGATAAGGAGGCGATCTAAACTTAACTTAACATTTTTTTACAAATAATTTTACCTGGTAAGGCCCACTGAGCTATGTAGTTCCTTTTCAGAAGCGACCTGGCCATCACAAATGATAGCCCTGAACAAAGTGGCGTATCACGTAGAAATGTATAGCAGCCAAACGTTTTTAAATGTGCAGGGGGAAACCTGGAGAAAAATTCCACGCGGATCACGGGGCATGCAAACTCCAAATGATCAGAAAAATTAGTAAACACTGTCGTAGTGAGACGGTGTTCCATCGTGTTCCGGGAGATACCCTTGCAAGCAAGATGTTCCATCTCACAGGGGATTTTCTGCAGGGGGAGGGGTTGGGAGGGATGGGAATATTATTTTTAACTTAGAAAAAAATCCGGCCCTGCAATATGATATCACAGAATCACTTGTCAAGGTATTTCAATCGGCCTCTTTATGCACAACTCAATGGCACATCTGTTACACGTACGGCAAAGCGTGTTTGTCGCATGTCACTCACGTGAAAATGTTAACATTGGCAAAATCAAGTGGAAAAACTCGAACGTAAAGTATTTATTTATTTCGTGACAGCTCAGTGCTAAGTCACGGAATTCACCAATTCTCGTCGGGGTGCGTGTGTGCGCGCATGTGTGCGTGTATGTGTGTGCGCGTGTGCACTTGTGTGTGTGTGTTCGTGCGTGGCAGACGTGGACGAGTGCGAGAGAGACCACTCGCTGTGCCGGGGAGGCACGTGCGTGAACACGGACGGCAGCTTCAAGTGCCTGTGCCCGCCGGGGCACGAGCTCACTCCAGACGGATTTGCCTGCGTTGGTAAGCCACGCGCACGCATGCCCACGTTCGCGTACCCACCCACTCGTACCCACGCATGCCCGTAACGCCCCCGCCCATAACCCCTTCCAATTTACAATCCCATGCTGTCTCTTCCCAATGACAATCCCACTCTTTCCCAAGCATTCACAATCCCACGCCGATCCCTTCCCCAAGCCCACCCACTTGGAGCCGCTTCCTCTTGTGGTCTGTGCCAAGCAGCCGCTGCTCTCCTCATTAACCTTGTGCCTCTCGTTTAAACGCATCCAGATGCGGGGAGCGCAAGGTACGATGCGCGTGTGACGGCCGTGTTGACTGCGCACGCGACGATCCGCCCACCGAGGGCGACTCTGGCGCTCGATTCTTGATGCACGCATCGATTTAATAATTACGCTCTAACTCGTACAACTGTTTCACGATGCCACGAATAGAGTGAACGGGGCGGCGCGAAACACGGCAAAAGGATGAACAATAGAAATGCGACGGTAAAAACATAAACCGAGGCAACAGATAATGAATTCTTGATTGAAACTGATATCTCAAATCGTTAAGATTCATCGGATCGTGAGGTAGCGGTGAGTGACTGCGTGCCTGCTGAGCCCTGTACGTGCTGTTGTGAGTGTATACACACTCGTTTCACGGAGTTGGGCAATCACGTTACAAATTAGCGTGTATGTTCATTTGATTTTAAACGTAAACGCTCCCACTGTCTTCTTTCTCTCTCTCCCTCTCTCTCGAGAGAGAGGATCCGTGCGCCCGTCCCTCCGGGGTCTGTGCGGGGCTGAGTTTCCTGCTCAGAGCCCAGTGTGGGGTCCTCCACTGATGGATGTGCCCCATCTTAGTGGGGGGAGGGGGCAGCTGTGGAGAGCACCCAGAGGACAAATTGATGCCCCGCTGGCGAGACCGGCGCTTACCCTAATTAACAGCGGAAGCCTGAACCTTGTTTGACCCCCATCCGCCTAATTTTCCTGGAAAGCCCTCCGCTCCTCTCGCAAACTCTCCGGTAGCTAATTACGCCGCGCTTTCCGACGACTCTTCACCCGGAGCGCTTCCCCCTGCCGGCGGCCGCCCGCCGGCTCGCCGCCGACAATCAGCGGTCGGGTTGCACATGTGGGCGAAAGTCGTTTACTGGAGGGCCCTGCGATCACGCGAACGCGTGTGCGCCTCGCCCCACCAGCCCGTGGCGACCGCCCCAGTGCCTGGACGCGGCAGGCGAGCGGCGGCCGCGTTTCGATCGCGATTATTCGTTGCCCCTTTATTTTTTCCTTCCTTCCTTCCCCACAGACGTGAACGAGTGTTCGCTGAGCGACAGCCTGTGCCGCAACGGGCGCTGCATGAACATGGTGGGCACCTTCCAGTGCACGTGCAACCCGGGCTACCAGACCACGCGCGACCGCCAGGCGTGCGTCGGTACGTGCGTCCGCGCGCGGGACACCGTCGTCATCCTAGACTCCCCCACCACCCGCTTTGCATGCAGCCCAAAGACCTGTGACCAAGTTGACTGAGCTGGCTCAGGGCGCTGGGAGCGCGGTATCACGAAGTCGACTGACTGGACAGACGGCCGTTGCGTTCACGCCGAGTTCCTCGCCTCCTGTGCCAGAGGGCTGACCGTGCCGAGCGCGCCGGGAGCCGTGATCGCCCCGGGGGGAGGGGCGGCGTCTCGCTTGAGGCATCGGCAGCCCGAGGATTGAGGACGCCCGAGGAGGCTGGGCGGTTTCGACAGTGGAACGCGGTCAAATGAGCGCAGGGCTCAAAACAAGAAGTGGCCGCCTGCTTTGTGCTCGTGTCCGCCCGCGCTCGCTCTCGTCGCGCCGCGTCGTTGTTCACGTTGCGTGCGCGCCCTCCCTCCCGCTGTGCAGACATTGACGAGTGCACCATCCAGAACGGAGGCTGCGACACACACTGCGCCAATGCCGAGGGCAGCTACGAGTGCAGCTGCAACATGGGCTTCGCCCTGCTGCCCGACACGCGCACCTGTGCAGGTGAGGCCCCGCACCGATTGGCCCGCACCGATCGCCCGGCTGCTCCGTCTGTATGGGATAGAGTGTTTCCCCCTCGCGTGAGTGGATTTTCTCCGGGTGCTCCAGTTTCCTCCCACTTGTAAACTCTTTTTAAAACCTTTATATTAAGTTCACTTGCTTGCTTGCGCGCTTACGACCGTGCAAATCTTTCGGTCGTTTTTTAACCCACTTCCCGTGATCCAATCGAGCTGACATTTTGCACACAGACTCGTTGTGCGTGACAATTTATTTTCATGAAAATTTTTTGTCCAAAATTTTACACTTTTTAGGAAAAAAAAAATTATATGTAATTACCAATTGCTTAATGGTGGCAGGCAATCATCTGACCCATAGGTGGCAGCCATCTCAAGCCAGAGGACGAGAGGACTCTAGCTGCCCGTTTCAAAAACCAATGTCCTTATATACGACTTTCCTTATATTTAATTTAAAATACCAATGTGATAAAAATGAAACTCTTACTCAAGAAAAACAGAAATGAATAATAAAATAAAACCGATGCCACGCATATAAAGGATTTATAGTGAAAAACTTTGTTTTTACGGGTTAATTTTTTAGTTGGCCTATAACACCTTAATAAACAGAGGACCGCAGAGCTTGGGCGATTGCTGCCCGTGTTTCTTCGCGCCTCCGAGTCGTTCTCTCCCTACGAGAGTGAGCGAACACTGTAGACATTATTATTATAATTCATAGTCAATTCATATCCATACGGAAGAAAAAGAATAGGAAGATTTGATCAAACGAGGTGCAGACCCAGGTGCTACTTACCGCTGCTGCTGCTGTTGTTTTTATGTTCTGTAACATTAACGAATTTTTTTTAAACTGCTCTTTGTGTTTAATTTGTTGTCATTCCCCCGCGCCTCCGATCAAGCACGGCTGGCTATGTACGGTGCGTTGTCGGCATCTGGTTGAAATCAACGGTTGTGTTGTTGCCCGTGATCGATTCTCGCCGCCTCCTCCTCCAGACATTGACGAGTGCGAGGACAGCCCGGATGTGTGCGAGGGCGGTCAGTGCACCAACGTCCCCGGCGACTACCGCTGCCTCTGCTACGACGGATTCATGGCCTCCATGGACATGAAGATCTGCCTGGGTGAGGCCACCGTGTCCGTCCGCGCATCTCTCCCCCTCCGTCGAGGGCCGTCCAGCTCGTAACCCTTGCTGGTCGCCGGGCCCCATAGACGGGGTCGTCGCCGGGGGAACGGACCCGAAGGACCGTAGCGAGGCCGTCACGAACACGTTCGCGCGTTTCGGTTTCGCGAGTACAGGAAAGAAATCGGCGGGAAATAAATCCGCCTCCTACGCGTTCCCGTGCCAGATTGTGTTTGGTTTCGTGAGCGGCTCGCTCCCTGTATTTGCAGCGGTTAAGAAGTCGCTGATTAAGCGTTAAAACGTGGCTCCCGCGTGCGCAACACAGCGAGGGGAAATCAGAGAAGTTCTGCGTGAGCTACAGAACAGGTCACGACCTTGGCCTATATTAGCTCTTCCTCCACCCCGCTTACACCCGTTTCGTTTCACGCGACGTGTGTATCCCGCCGCTGTGCGACACAACAGGATGTAGCTTCTTCATGGCGCAATCCGTGTACGATGACCGCGAGACTTGATGACCCCGACGCTGACCCCCGGCTCCCCGCCCCCTGTCCCCGCCCGACCTGGTTCGCAGATGTGAACGAGTGCGACCTCAACCCCAACATCTGCCTCTACGGCGACTGCGAGAACACGCGCGGCTCCTTCATCTGCCACTGCCAGAACGGGTTCCATGTGCGCAAGGGAACGTCGGGGTGCACAGGTGAGGCTCCTTCGCATTACACGCACGCGACGTGCGTGCGTGTCGTGCACTGTTGTAGGCCCATGGGTAATAAAGAAATCGGTAAAGCAACGAGTCGTTGTGTTTTCATCGCGTGAAAATAAAATGGCTTTTCGAGCCGTCACACTGCTGGCCCCACGGTGTGTATATGGAGGCCGCTCCCGCCCTTGTTGTAAAGAAACCCCACAGCATTTGTCTACGAAGCCATGCCTCCGCTAGGACTCGGAAAGTCAAAACAGGCCCAGAGGTTTTGCCTGTTTAAACGATTGCTACTTGCAAAACATGTATTCAATAGGCCGATGGACCAAAAACGCGACTGTGTTATTACGTGTCGAAGCGGATAACCGCCTCTCTCGCGTCCTCCCTTCCCCGGGCCTAGACGTGGACGAGTGCGAGATCGGAGCCCACAACTGCGACGTGAACGCCGAGTGCAGCAACGTGCTCGGAGGCTTCCGTTGCGTGTGCAACGATGGCTGGGATGGAGACGGGACGCGTTGTCACGGTAAGAACCCCCGAGACCGTGTGACCCCGGAGACCCCGGAGACCTGCAGCTCCGTCAACGGGGGCCACGCAGAGAATGGGGGGGGGGGGGGGGGGGAGTGAATGGGGAACTTATCCCCAGACCTCCCAACAAAAGAGAGCCCCACAACGGGCCTATAAGGGGGCCCCACATGGCATTCTGCCCCGAGGCCTCCAGGCCTTGCTTCTCAGACCCAGCTCCTCGTGCAAAAGCACGCACAGGTGTAAAGCAAGGGGCATTATAAACGTAGCTGTAAACATTAAAGATATTAAGTTTATATTCTGTATATTTGTAATTGTGTATGAATATGTAGACATGTACCAGGGTAAGTCCTCTGCTCAAGTGGAAATTTTTGCTCGCGCGTGCGTGCGTGTGCGCGTGTGTGTCAAAGTTCGATTCTCGCTCACTGCCAACATCGGTGACGAATATCTGAACTGGTTCTGAGCCTTCCTTAGGTCGACTCGGCCTTAAATGATTACGTGGTGCGCCAGTGTAAACATCCGCACCGGCGAGGCAAAGGCCGGCGGCCGAGCGTGGTGCTGTCCACCCACCCCCTCGTGTGCCGTGCGGGCCTTCATAGGTGCTACTCGCTAACTTATCTCAACAGTCAGCTAAAGGCTATATGGGGGATCTTTGCATCTATGTTATTGTATTCGTGTGTGTGCGCACGTGTGTGTGCGTACGTGTGTGTGCGCGCGTGTGTGTGCGTACGTGTGTGTGCGCACGTGTGTGTGCGTACGTGTGTGCGTACGTGTGTGTGCGTATGTGTGTGTGCGTTGTTGTGCGCACGTTTGCGCGTGCTCCACCGCAGACGTGGACGAGTGCAGCACCAACGGGACGCACAAGTGCAGCGCGAGTGCCGACTGCGTGAACACGCCGGGCTCGTTCCGCTGCGTGTGCAAGGACGGCTTCTCTGGGGACGGCCACTCCTGCTCAGGTCGGGCCTCCCGGCGCTCCACTCTCGATCGCCAATCCACCTGGCCCGCTGCTTGCCTCTCTCCTTGGCTCTTGTGGCAGTTGATGTCCCCTCGCAATGGCCTCTCCGCTTCTCGGTGTCCGCCGCGAGCGTCGTTCAACGGAGATAGCTTCCAGCCCGTCCGGCGCTTTGACGATTGACCTCCAGCCAGATCCCCTTGCACGAGGTCCCTCCAGAGTTCCCTCCGTCGCCATCCTGGTCAAGTCGCCTCCGAAATATTGTAGTTTCCCCGCACTGCACATTTGCCTGAATTAGTAGCCTCGATTTCTTTGTCAGGGCTTCCTTCCTCGTCCGTTGCATTGCTCTTCACACGGAAACGTTCAGAATTCTCTGGAAGGTTTTCCTTTTCCACGGCGGTGATTCTCCGCTCCCTCTTCGCTGGGGGGTCGCTGCGCGTTGGAAAGTTCCGACGACGTCACAATGCCGGTACCGCTCTCCCCTCCCTCCCTCCCCCCGCGATCTAGACATGGACGAGTGTGCCGACAACGTGGACCTGTGCGAGAACGGGCAGTGTCTGAACGCGCCGGGCGGCTACCGCTGCGAGTGCGAGATGGGCTTCGCTCCCAGCGAAGACAGCAAGGCCTGCCAGGGTACGTCGTGCCGTCGCCCCCCCCTCGCCCCCCTCACCCCCTCGCCTCCCTCACCCCCCTCGCCCCCTCGCCCCCCTCACCCCCTGCCCCCTCGCCCCCTCGCCCCCCTCACACCCTCGCCCCCTCGCCCCCCTCACCCCCTCGCCCCCCTCACCCCCTCGCCCCCCTCACCCCCTCGCCCCCCTCACCCCCTCGCCCCCCTCACCCCCCTCACCCCCTCGCCCCCCGCGGGCCGAGTGCGGTGCTAGTGAGTGACTCTTCGTGCTAACCCCCCTCTCCCCCCGCCGCCCACCCCCCCCCCCCCCCCCCCCACAACAGACATCGACGAGTGCGCGTTCCACAACATCTGCGTGTTCGGCTCGTGCCAGAACCTGCCGGGGACGTTCCGCTGCGTGTGCGACGACGGCTACGAGCTGGACCACAGCGGAGGGAACTGCACCGGTGCGTCGGCACGGCACCGCTGGGTCCCCGGGCTCCGTTGTGCCACAATTACCCCTCGGCCCATCGTCGTTATTAAACCGGCGTCGTTATTAGACCGTCGTTATTAAACCGTCGTTACTAGACTGTCGTTATTAAACCGGCGTCGTTATTAGACCGTTGTTATTAAACCGTCGAAACTAGACTGTCGATATTAAACCGGCGCCGTTATTAGACCGTCGTTATTAAACCGTCGAAACTTAGACTGTCGTTATTAAACCGGCGTCGTTATTAGACCGTTGTTATTAAACCGGGTTCGCAGGCGCAGCGAGCCGATGGGTTCACTGTCGATGGAGTACTCGCACCTCTGAGTAGTTGCCCTCCCTCATCGAGACCGAGAGAATACCGTGCACGTTACGAGTTGAAATACATTTTTTGTTATTGCCATCGATAACATTTATGAGAATACCAAAGAATATATAGCTCTGTGCCGGGGCCACCGAAGGATAGAAGCTCTCCACAAACAAGGCAGAGTAAGTTGGATTTTTAATCGAATTCAGGTTATTTCAGACTGTTCATCGTCGTCATTGTCATCATCGTTTTTAAAATGTCTGCATGCACATCATCATCGGGTGTCAAACAACACCTCGGACACCCCTCGCAGACGGGATGTTCCATCACAAGGGATTTTTCTCGGTGAGATTTATATGGTGACAAAAGAAGAATCGGCTTCACCCTTGCTGGCAATAACACAGGAGGTGTTCAGATGCTCAATCGCCACACAGACAACACCGATTGCAAGGGTATACAAAATAAGGCTGTCTCTGGTGTAGGCCAATCAGTTTTAAAGACATTGCATAGAATATCAGAGAATGTTTGTTTGCATAAGCACGTGTGGTTAATGCAGACTTGATGCCTTGTAATCGGTGTGTGTTGTCTACTTGGTGTTTGAACATCTGAACACCTGTGTTATTGCCAGAAAGGGTGAAGCCGATTGTTATTTCTTCATCATTTTGAAACTGGCAAAAAGGTCCAATAGATGTAATATCTAAATATATATGTAAACTCTCCAGCCATGGCCACTCCGCTGCTGGATGAAGGCCTTCCCCCAGGCCGCCAGCTGCCGCTCACGATCCTGCGGCGTAGCAATTCACCTGGCGCCTGCGCACGAGCTGATTCCATCGCTCTGCCTCCAATTGAAAACATTATATTTAGTTTTTTGGAAGCGACACGCTGGATGAGTGATGTTTTCGGAGCACATGGAACAATGGTGGCGCGCCCCCGATGTTCGTAGACGTAGCGTCGTGCTGGAGGCCTCTGTGCTCGGGTGCGGCTATGTGGGGAGCGGCGGCGCTGCTGCGGTTAGCGCTGCTGCGGTTAGCGCTGCTGTGGTTAGCGCTGCTGCGGTTAGCGCAGCAGCGGTTAGCGCTGCTGCGCTGTGAATCCGGCGCGCCGAGTTCGATTCCCCGCTCACGGCCACCGCCGGTGGCGATTACCTGAATCGGTCCTGGGCCCCCCCCTAGGTTGACTCGGCTTCGAAATGAGCACCTGGTACGACGTGTAAACATCGTTACTAGGGAGACAAAGGCGGTCGAGTGTGGCGCTGGCCACCCCCCCCTCGTGTGCCACAGTTGCCGGCCTTCATTGGTGCTCACTAATCAGCACTTGTCCCAACGGTCTGTTAAGGCTACACGGGGGATCTTCGTCTTATACGCCTCTGCGAGATCAGACCAATGTTGTGCTTATTGTATGCAAACCACGGAGGCTCGTTAATTTGGAAAATCAAGCGAGCGCCAGGCTGTCCTGCGCGCGTGTGCGTGCGCCCGCTGTGACACCACGAGCAATGCAGCTGCGAGGGAATAGAGATCCAATTTTAACTAAATAGAAATGTTGAACTACGTTCACTGCGGCACAATTAAACTTGCTGGGACTTCCTTTGATTAAATCGGTTGAATGGCGCGAGGAATTGTGCAGCAGTGCGCACGCTAAGGATGGGAGAGAAAAAAAGCAATGAAATCGCAATTACGTTCAACTACAACTTGATTTATACGCAGTGCGCCGCGTGAATATTTCGCGAATGTTCCAGGCGGTGCTGTAGCGTCTTCGCGGTGGCCTCGCTGCGTGCACGTGGCACGAATACTAAACGTGCCAAACGTTTGAAGATTTGCTTTGGCTCGCAGTAAGACGCGACGAAGGCTGCCTATTTTCTACTTTACACGAACACCGTGGACAAAATAACCGCCGGCAAAGAAATCACCCACCTACCGGTACCTGCAAATGAACCGGCTCCTACCGATCGTTTCTATATTCGAATTAACGACGTGCATTTCGCCCCGATGACGGCACGAGTTGTGTTTGAGGTGACTCGAGGCTCTACCGTCTCCCACCCAACAGGGACATTTAAAGGCGCGAGCCACAGCAGTGCGAACGTGGCCGTGCAAACCAAAACTGTGGACCGTAAAGTTCAAGCCGCCGTGTTCTGCGTTCCTTCGACAGAGGATGACGGGCCGCAGAAAAATAATGACACCGACTCTCTCTCCTAAAGCCCTCTCACCGTGGCTCGCCGACCTTGACATCGGCATTTTAGCTCCTGGATGTGTTGCTGCCATCATGCGCAAGGATAGAGAGCAAGCCGGCTGAGGCGTTGCCTCGTAGAGTATTACGCAGCGAGTCCTCCACCCCCCCGCCCCCCCGCTCTCCCCCGCCATCCGCTGACGGAGGACGTCCTCTGCTCGTGCGTTCTCCCGCTCGCAGATGTGAACGAGTGCGGGGACCCGGTGAACTGCATCAACGGCATCTGCGCCAACACGCCGGGCAGCTACATCTGCAACTGCCCGCCCGACTTTGAGCTCAACCCCACGGGCGTGGGCTGCGTCGGTGCGTACCGACGGGGCGGGTCGCTCCTCGCCGCGCGCCGGCCTCGCGTTTGTTTTTGCTCTGCACTTTTGACTCCTGTTCTTGATTCCGGCCAGTTCCCGACGTGAGCAGCGGCGTTTTCGACGAGGCATAGGCCAGTGTTCTACGCTAACATTTTCAGAGGTGGGGGGGGGCCACTTTCGCCGATAAGACATCATCACAGCGTGAGGGCCGCCACACATTTGAAACCATTGGGGTTTAACAGCAGCACGACGATGACGGGGGCTTTCGTCACGTGCATTGTCGGGGGCCGCACGTCAGGGGCCGCACTAGAGGCCACCAGGGGGCCACCAGCGGCTTGCGGGCCTTGCAATGAAGAAGGCTGCGGTAGACGAAGGCCGACGGTGCAGCAATGATGACGGGCCTCCTCGTCGCGGACCGCGTGGCCCCCGGCGCTCGTCGCGCCGAAACGAGGCCAAGCTCGGCGACGCTCCCTCGGCCTCACCGTGGACATCTGTGCTTTGTCATCCTTGGCCTCCGCCAAGTGTTTGTGATTTCGTTAATCGTTTTCACATACTTCTTCCCCCCAGATTCAGAATGCCTATGTTTTTTTTTAATTTCACCGCGTGACCGGGCTTGCGTGGCCTGTGATCAGTCAAGGAGATGCGTCCTAGGCGAGCGTGCAGGCATTCGTGTGCACGTGTACGTCCTGACCTACTTCATAGCCGAGTCCGCCTGTCCACACTCGCACCTGGATATGAATTTGGCCCAGACCGTACAGCTGTGACACGCCAAACTTAAGCCTGCCTCTGTGTGCGTGCATGCGTGTGAGCGCACGTCTGTATTCCTGTGCGTACGCACGTGCACGCCCCTGCATTGTGATTTTGTGTAAGTGCAAAATATATAGGCGCTTGTGTACATGTGCAAGTGTACGTGCATTGTGTTGGTGCGAGGAGCGGTAGTGTAGCGAAAGTGTGGTTGTTTGTGCGCCAAGCTACGAACTCTGCTACCCGGGTTCGATTCCTGCTCACGACCGAAAAAAGGGACAGCGAATATCTGAACCTGTCCTGGGCCTCCCCTAGGTTAACGCAGCCTAAATTAAGTACCCGATGTGGTGTGTAAAACATCATATCTGGGTAAACAAAGTGGCCGGACTTGGCTTTGGCCACACCACCCCTTCCTACGCCATTGCGGCCTTCATAGGCGCTCCTTAACAGCACCTGCCCCAACAGTCTGTTCAAGGCTAAATACGGGGATCTTTGTCCTTGTGCCACAGACACGCGCGTGGGAAGCTGCTTCTTTGAGCCAGAGCCGCGAGGCGACGGGGGGTTCAGCTGCAGCGCGGAGATCGGCGTCGGGGTGACGCGTGCCTCCTGCTGCTGCTCGCTGGGACGCGCCTGGGGAAACCCCTGCGAGATCTGCCCAGTCTCCAGCACAGGTCAGAGGGCACGAGCTCATGGGTCCGGCCTCCCACGTGTAAAGGGGCCTTACAGACAGGCTTTGTTCCTGCTCACAGTGCTTCCTGTGACCCTGCTCAATGCTGCTACTGCTGCTGCTGCTGCATTCCACAGATGAGTACAAGACCCTGTGTCCCGGAGGAGAGGGCTTCAGGCCAAATCCAATCACAGTCATCCTGGAAGGTAACACTTATTCTACGTTTACATTTAACATGCCTTGGACAGAAGTTGGCCGGGTGGCCCAATGGGGCTACTACTTTGTCAGAGACTGAGCCAGTGCCACATGAAATCCTTGCTTTGAATTTGGATCTCAGCCATCACTGTCAATAAGAGGTGGAAGGTTGACCAGGTTGGGTCAGAGGTCACAAACGCTGGGATGCTGACCTAGTTGGCACCGCTGAGATTCGGGGTTCGCTGGGATCCTGGCTGAGTTGGAACTACTGGGATCCTGGCTGAGAAGGCACCGCTGAGATTCTGGGTTCCCTGAGATCCTGGCTGAGTTGGACCCACTGGGATCCTGGCTGAGTTGGCACCGCTGAGATCCTGGCTGAGAAGGCACCGCTGAGATTCTGGGTTGCCTGAGATCCTGGCTGAGTCATCACCGCTGAGATCTGGGATTCGAATTGCAGGCAGCTGCTGCCTGTGATTAAACCGGTCCTCAAGTGTAGTGAGTTGATGGTCTCAGCCCCGCCACTAACGACTACACAAAAAATACCCAATTACGTTCACTTCATGTTGGTTGACTTCCATCTCTGGCAATTCTAAATTTGGTGTTTTTTGACGTATGCGGTGGGTTTGTTGAAGAGATTATATAAAAGTTTGGTGTCCCTGGTCGTGATGATGAAGGCCAAGGGCCCACAGACACGTCCAGCTGCGCAAATTCCAAATTTGGAATTTTCTTCCCCTCCTGCCACGGCGCCAAGGGAACGAACGGAGTTAAATTGGGAGACGGAAAATTAGTTTTTGTTGCAGCTGCAATTAAATTCTTCGTAAATACAATTTATACGGGACTATATTTGTATGATGGCCGCACTGCAGCAAAGACAGATACGTTACGGACTACAGGGCTGCTATCACAGATTGCGATTCGAACTCCGCTTTGCTTTCACTTTCATAGCACATGATGTTACTTAGCGGGGCCAATTTCGAGTTGCCTGACGCTTCACAACGCTGTTGCTATGATTCGTTGTTGCCCGTGCGAAGGTGCCACTTGTGTGTGTTGTATTTATGTTGAACTTCTTTTGCACCGCACGTAGCCACCGCACGTAGCCACCGCACGTAGCCACCGCACGTAGCCACCGCACGTAGCCACCGCACGTAGCCACCGCACGTAGCCAACCGAGATCATCGGAGGTGCGGGGAAGGACAACAAGTGGTCGCGCAACAGTTAGCGCATTCCGCTACGAATCCGGTCACCCGAATTCCCTTCCCCCTCACGGCCAAAGAACAGTGGCGAATATCTGAACGTGTCCTGTGCCTCCCCTACGTCGACTCTGCCTTAATTGAGTACCTGGCACGTTGTGTAAACATCAGCACTGGGGAGACAAAGGCGGCCGGACGTGGCGCTGGCCACCCACCCCCTCATGTACCGTGCCGGCCTTCATAGGTGCTTGCTAACAGCACTTGCCCCAACAAGTTGTTCCAAGGCTATACGGGGGATCTCTGCCTTTGTGTGTCTGTGTGTGTGCCATCCGTGCAGACATTCGACGAGTGCCAGGAGCTGCCAGGGCTGTGCCAGGGTGGGAACTGCGTGAACACGTTTGGAACGTACATGTGCGTGTGCCCGCCTGGGTACTTCCGGAACGAGCGCATCTGCGAAGGTGCGTACCGCGCGTTGCCGCCCTGCTTGTGCGCCCATCCCGCGCCCGTCCCGCGCAATCTCTCGGCTCGTGCGTTTCGACCGAACTCGCGGGCGTGAAGGGAGATCATAAAACGAGCGAGCGCCAACGTAATCGGTACTCGCTTGCGCGGCACGCTGACCCTAGACTCCGGTGGTAAGGATTCGGTGTATCGTGCACCGATTTGTTAACCACGAAACTCGCTAGGCCACTGAACAGCCGAGATAGCCATGCTATAAGCTGAAACTAAGCTATTTTATTTACCAGCTAAAGCCCACTGAGCTATTAGTTATTTTTCAGAGGCGATCTGGCCACACACAAGTGGCTTGTATGTTCATCACGTAATCTAAACGCGTGTTGATGTCCATAATCAACGTTTTTGGGTTTAGATCGCGTTATTTATAAATGTGTCGTAACCCTCCACCACCCGACACGGCCAATCAGTAAAAATGTGTCACGTTGACAAAGACAAATAGTTGCTTTAGCCCACCGGTGTGTTGAAGCCACAACATTTACAATTTGAGTACGACGTTTCGCTGGTAATTGCATCCAGCATCATCGGGCAATTCGCCAGAATGGTGAGGCTCTGCTGTGTCTCCCGTTCTTATATAGAGCAGCAGCAGGGTGACAGTCATCATTAACTCATGTGTTAAAAAGTGTGTTGATGTGGTGGGTGGCAATACCGCAGGGACCCGGAGAAAATCCACATTACCACCACGGGGAAAGAGAACACGCGGACTCCAAATATATAACAGGCATCGCCAGGGTCCAGGATTGAACTCACGACTTGCTGCGTACCAGGAGGGATATGATACCTCACCATATCGGTGCTCCAATAATTGGGCAGTATAGCAAGTGGGTTCTTGAATCCATTTGTGTTGAACCTTTGGAGAGGCCATGTTGCATTCTCTCCGGGTTCTCCAGTTTCCTCCCAAATAAACTAAAAACGAGACGAAACTATTTCTATGTTACCAATTAAGGCCCACTGAGATATACAGCTCTTTTTCAGAAGTGACCCTGGCCGCAAATGATAGCTCAACGAAGTGGCGTATTATCACGTAGAAATTTATAGCAGCCAAAATACGCTAAATGCACGTTCATTCTAAATGTGGAGGGAAAAACCGGAGGACCCGGAGAAGAATCCATGTCACCACGGGGAGAGAGACGCCGCGAACTCCATATATAAAAAAAGGTGTCAGGGTCGGGATCGAACTCACGACCTCCTGCGTACCGGGAGGTAACACCCGCCAACGCGGTGCCGCAAAACGCAAAATACAAATGGAGATGGAATTGGCAAAGCTCCCTCCACCCTGCCCTGCCGTTCCCATTGAGTTGACGGCCCCCCGGAAAGAAAAAAATTTTTGACACTTAAGTGACGCTTTCCAAGCTCAATACAGGATATTATAATTTTTGTTAACCAACCGCTCGCGTATTTCAACGCACCCCCCTCTAAGCGTCCGCCCGAGGCTGCACGCCGTAATCTCCGTCCCTCTCGTTTGTCGGAGGCAGACATCGACGAGTGCTCGCGGAGCCCCGGCGTGTGCGGCCCGGGCACGTGCTACAACACGCTGGGCAACTACACCTGCGTGTGCCCCTCCGACTACGTGCAGGTGCACGGAGGCAACAGCTGCATGGGTAAGAGTCGGCCGCTGCCAGTGCCGGAGGGCCGGTTCGTCCGCTTCTTGTGTCTACGTGCGGGGGTGGGGGAGCTGTCCGCAGCTGAGTTCCAGAAAATATGCACCCCCCCCCCCCCCCCGGAAAAGGGTTGGGGTTTGATACCCCGAGATAAAATATTCAATGTGATACTAAACCACCTTGTGCATGGCTATATGACTAGAGTGGGTGTCTGTTACTTGCTTCGCGTGTGTGTGTGTGGGTCTCTGTTGTTGTGCGTGTGGGGAGCGGTAGTGCAGCGGTTAGCGCACTGCACTATGAACCCAGCGACCCGTGTTGGAATCCTGCTCACGACTAACAGTGCCAGGGAATATCTGAACCGGTACTGGACGCTCAACCCAGTCTTAAACAAGGACCTGGTGTGATGTGTTAACATCGTCACTGGGGACACAAAGGGGGCCAGGCATGGGGTTGACCACCCACATTTCATGCCGGCCTTCATAGGTGCTGCTCGCGAACAAGCACTTGCCTCAATAATCTGTTAAAGACTATATGGGGGATCTTTGTCTTTGCGTGCACGCGTTACGGGGAGTGGAGGGGGTTAATTGGTTCGCGCACTGCCATGGATAATGCTGATGTCTTGGGGGGCCACCTCACCCAGGTGAACCTCCGCCTTCAACGAGGAGCCGGCGTGGTGTGTAACCTTCAGCACAAGCGGTGGCCATCCGTGCCGCCCGCTCCCGTGGACTGATGGCTTTAATTGTCGCTCATGAACCCTTTCGCCGGCAGCCTTTGCGGTTAAAGAGTGGGCGGCCAGATGATTGTCTTGGCATGGGTGGGAAAGTGGTAATGCAGTTGTGTGCACACACTGTGCTACTGTAGTCCTATCGGTGGGGAAACCGATATCTCAGCCTGTTTGGGGCCTTCAGAACAGGCCGCTCTAAGTTTAGTTTGCTCGGCAATAACTCGAGTTGCGTGCTTTGATGCACGCCCCGCCGTTGCGTGCAGACATGCGCAAGAGCTTCTGCTACAAGAGCTACAACGAGACGTGCGAGGGGGAGCTGCCCTACAACCTCACCAAGAAGATGTGCTGCTGCTCCTACAACGTGGGCAAGGCCTGGAACAAGCCGTGCGAGGCCTGCCCTGCCCCGGCCACCGGTAACGCGACGCACCCGTCCAGGCTCTCGCCCGTCTGGCCTCCTCCTCCTCTCTTGAGGTCTCACCCGGTTAAGCAAAATACGCTTGAAACTTTGTCACGAACGCGCGCCTGCGCACACCCGTGTGGGACCCGAGCCTCCGCCGGCTTTGCTGCGGTTGGACCACCCTGACTACCCTCGGCAATCGCTGCCAAACTTGGCTCGCCGTCAGATTTTATTTTTTCCCGCTGAAGTCAGGTTCGGGTAAAATTCGACGAACTGAAATGGAATTGTTTTGTTTTAATAGAAGGAATTCTGAGAAGCCGATATTACACAGGCCAAGGATTAGACTTGGGGTCCGTTGGGAGACGTATATCGGGGTAGGAGCTCCGGGAGAGACGCGCTCGGAATCTCTGGGTCCGACCCTGCCCGTGATGCAGGGTCCCGGTTGGTTTGTTTCGTGAAATCGGTCTCTGGCATTGCTTAACGGGTGAGAACGAACGAGGTGGGATGGAGCCACTTGCTGCTGCTGTTGTTGTTGGTGTCCCCCCTCCCCGCCCCACGCTGGTGTTATCGTGGCGGCGATTGTGGCGCGGTGCCCGTTTGTTTTGGCGCCCGCGCGCGCGCCGTCGGGGCCGCCGGCGCGTCGGCAAGGGGGGAGCCGCTCGCTCCTGCCAAGAAAACGTCCCGCGGACGTCCCGCGGACGTGTCAACGGCGGCGTAATGGGAGCTGACGCGAAAAAAAATCCAAACTTTCACCGCGCGTCGTTGCTCTCCCCAGCCTGCGTTTGTCCTCGGCGCGTACTTCTCTATGAAATGTGGAAGAAAATCGAAAACTACTTTTTGTCGTTGTTGTTGTTGTGGGTCTGTGCCAAGAGGGACGAATGGAGAGAGAAGGAAAACAAAACCGACCCCGAAACAACGTGCAAGCAACATTTATTCACGAGTCTTGTCAATGTGGTCGTGCGTCGTCGCTTCTGTCTTGCAGCGGGGTACACACAGCTGTGCGGAAACCAGCTGCCCGGCTTCATCATTGACATCCACACGGGCAAGGCGGTCGGTAAGTCCTGCACGTGGATAGAGCCTCGTGTTGCCCCTGGCCGTGTGTGTGCGTGGGGCGGATGGTCAGCGGCGTGGGGAGCGGCAGTGTGGTTCGGTACAAACGCAGTGACCCGAGATCGATTCCCTGCTCGTGACCCACAGCAGACGTGAAATATTTGAATCCGTCCTGAGCCCCCCTCCCCTTCACCTCTCGGCTGACTCAGCCTTAAATGAGTAGCCGGTGTGAAGTGTAAATATCAGCATTGGGGAGACAAAGGTGGCCAGTGCCGGCCAGCCACCCCCTCGTGCGCCATGCCAGCCTTCGTAGGTGATCCGCTAACAACACTGCTCCCAACAGTCCCTTCCCACAGTCTGCGCAGGCTATACGGGGGATCTTTGTTTTTGTTCATGGGTGATCCTGGTGATGTACATTGAATTCGTGGCCATCAACTCCCAATTAGCGTCCGCACACCGTCTTGTGTATGCCCCTTAGGTGGATTCAGCCTTAAATGAGTACCCGGTGCGATGTGTGAACCTCGGTGCCGGGGGAACAACAAATGTGCCGTGTGCCGACCGCACGACTCCACTCGCGCCGTGCCAGGTGCTCGTGGCGGGCGCGCCGCATTGCGGCGTCGTAATCCCAGCACCGCGGAGGCAAGCGGCGAGGGTTGGCGGATCACGCTCGCCAAAGTCCCCCCGCCTCCCGCCCTGCCCGCGGGCGCTGTGGCCAGGGGGCGAAGGCGGAGCGAGCGAGTGGGTTCAGTTCCGTCCGTGACGGGGGCATCGTTGCGTAGCTCACCCCGCGCACCCGTGGGGTTCTCTTCCGCGCTTCCTCCGACGCGTGTAAATAACTGTGCCGTGAACGGAGTTGGCCACAAGTCTCAATGTAGGACACCAGAGCTCAGGCAATTATTAGCGCCGGTTCTGGCTGCCTCTGGGTCATTCTGTACTCTGGCTGAATGGAAACTGTGATCGTTATGAATTCTAAACGATTATTATTATTTTTCTTCTTGGTTCTTTCGGTAAAGTCACGTAGAAGGGAAGTAATAAAATAATAAAAATAAAACATAATAAAACAATTCTCACGACGTTTCGGCCACAACGCAAGCAGCCGTCCTCAGGTGAAGAATGAGACAATGCCAAGCTAGGAGCTTATATATAAGCTGCGTTGGAGGTGGAAGAAAGAGCGCCTTAACAAAAGAATGTGCATATGAAGAGGAATTTAGCATATACATGGAAAATGCGTAGGAGGTGCGCGGGGGGGTTTCAAAGTCATATTATGCCCATGCATTATGCAGGATCAACAGCACCAAGGGGGGGTGCAGGGATTAGCAGTAACAAAGGAAAGGAATGTTAATGATATGTAGCTGCAGTTACTCAACAACCACGTAGAAAACTAAAGTATAAACTACAAAAAAAAAAAAGTATAAATTGCATAGCACCATCAGTATACTTACAATACTCTACACTAAGCTGAGTTACTAACAGCAAGTAATACATTACAATTCTACGTCGTAAAAATTATATAATATGCTTCCATCTAAACTTTATTCTATTGTATCACACGAGCATATACCGTACTATATACTGCCAACATTAAATTATATACTGTATTGCTGTAAACCAACCTATACCTTATACATTTAATATAACACTATGTATTATTCTACCCACCCTAATGTGTGTCGAAATGGTTTATTACGTCCTTCCAATGATTGCTAAGCCAGAATCCATCTTCTCGGTTAAAATTGTCTCTGTGTTTGTATATGTGGATCGCCTCATGAACGAATCTCTCATGATAGCCAGATGGCTTGCAGAGAACCTCTGTCTTGGAGAAGTGATCTGCCACGGCTGTGGCAGATCACACGTAGAATTGTAATGTATTACTTGCTGTTAGTAACTCAGCTTAGTGTAGAGTATAGTAAGTATACTGATGGTGCTATGCAATTTATACTTTAGTTTTTTATGTAGTTTATACTTTAGTTTTCTACGTGGTTGTTGAGTAACTGCAGCTACATATCATTAACATTCCTTTCCTTTGTTACTGCTAATCCCTGCACCCCCCCTTGGCGCTGTTGATCCTGCATAATGCATGGGCATAATATGACTTTGAAACCCCCCCGCCCACCTCCTACGCATTTTCCATGTATATGCTAAATTCCTCTTCATATGCACATTATTTTGTTAAGGCGCTCTTTCTTCCACCTCCAACGCAGCTTATATATAAGCTCCTAGCTTGGCATTGTCTCATTCTTCACCTGAGGACGGCTGCTTGCGTTGTGGCCGAAACGTCGTGAGAATTGTTTTATTATGTTTTATTTTTATTATTTTATTACTTCCCTTCTACGTGACTTTACCGAAAGAACCAAGAAGATGAATCCCTGCAGTCACGAAAGCTTTAAATCGAAAAATATTATTATTTTGTTAGACTAAAGCGGAATGTTTGTAGGTGCGTCATGGAGTATGGGGCAACGAATCTCCTCTTCACCCAAATCTGTTAACAGACAACAAATTACGCCGCATAAAAGGGCATCTCGTCTGGCTTAGCTGCCATTGTGACCCCACCACCACCACCGCCACTTGTGGGTGATCGGCAGCTGTGCTTCTTCTCGTGTACCTGCGTGCTTCTATCCATTGTCGTTGTTGGCCTGCTTGCTTGGAGGTGTTGCTTTCTTTCATGGTTATAATGATGATGACGATGATGATCACGATGATGATGATGATGATCACGATGATGACGATGATAAAAATGATGATGACGACGATGATGACGACGACGATGATGACGACGATGACGACGATGATGACGACGATGATGACGATGATAAAGATGGACAATGATGATAAAAATAATGACGATGATAACGATAATGACGACGATGATGACGATGATCACGAGTGCGTACCGGTGACCTACAGACATCGACGAATGCCGGGAGATCCCCGGGGTGTGTGCCAACGGCGTGTGCATCAATCAGCTGGGCAGCTTCCGTTGCGAGTGCCCCATGGGCTTCAGCTACAGCGATCAGCTGCTCATCTGCGAAGGTCGGTCGCCTGCCCCGACCCACGCTCGCCACGCGTCATCACCGCCATCGTCGCACTACGCATTCACCCGCTCGGCACCCGGGACCGCACGTCGTGTAAATACCCAGCAGACCGCATGGATGTTGACTTCCTGGCGCCCGTAAATAAATTCGGGCAAGGTAAGGCTCTGCGGCAGAGGGAGCGCGCTTCGCAATTTGCGACTTCAAAGCCCAATTGGCGGTAGACCAGGCTCGCCGTCCCTCCGGGGTCGATAAGAGGAGTACCACTTTAGTGGGGCAGTGAACACAAACACACACACCCCAAGTGCAGTCGAAACGTCTGTGGCGTTGATGCATTGCCGGTGGCGTCGTCAGCGTGGCAAGGGCCGGGGGGGCGGGCGGGGGGCTGCCCCAGGCGCCAGGCCCAACGGAGGAGCCCCCCGAACGAGGAGTCAGAGTGCTGGAGACAAATAAAGCAGTGACAGCAGCAAGACTTTACTAGTGCTGCTTTAATGCTTTAATGCCCGTTTCCCTGACGCGTGAGAACGTCGCTTAATTTTAATCCTCGCCGATGCCGCCGCTTTACATCGCGCCCGCCCCCCCTGCCCTCCACCCCCCGCCCCCCCGCCCCCCGCCCTCCCCATCGTAGACATCGACGAGTGCGTGAACGGCGACACGCTGTGCCAGCGCAACGCGGACTGCATCAACATCCCGGGCGGCTACCGCTGCGAGTGCGGCGCCGGCTACAAGCTCTCCCCCGCGGGCGCCTGCGTCGGTGAGGAAGGGAGAGCCGGCGCTCCGCTCGCGGGCACCGCGCTCCGCTCGCGGCTCGCGCCAAGGACTTCCCGCCCCCCTTGCCCTCGGTGGCCCGCGGCCGTAGCACGAGCGGGCGACGAGGTGGGGAGAGCCGGGCGGCTCGGGGAGGTGCAGTGCCACGTCGCAGCGTTGCGAGCCCGGGCGTGGTTCACGCTCCGGGTTCGCGCGCCCCGACAGCACTTTCCCCTGGGGGCCCTTGGCGGCTGACGAGGTGGGCTCGGAGCTCGGCGTCAAGGTGCTGAAACGATGCCTTGGCGTATGATGGGCTTCTTGCCGTGTGAACGTGTAAAGAGTCGGAGCCGCACACTTTTATCCTGGGCCGACGCTGGAACCAGCCGTGATGTAAACTTTAAACAATTTATTTTATATTTTTGACAGGTAAGGCCCGCTGAGTTATCTGGCTCTTCTTCCAAAGCGCCCTGGCTATCACAAATGATAGCTGAACGAAGTAGCTTATCGCATGGAAATTTATATCAGCCAAATGCTCTAAACTGCGTGATGTTGATTCTAAATGTGGGGGGAAGAACCGGAGGACTCGGAGAAAAATCTACGAGACCACGGGGAGAGAGAGAGAGACGCACACTCCAAATATACAGCAGCAGCAGGCGTCAGGGTCGGGATCGAACCCACGACCTCCTGTATACCAGGTGAAGTAGTAACGGCAATGGGGTCAATGCAGAAACAGGAATGGGCAGTGAATGTCGTCGTCCCCAGCTTCGATCGCCCCCAGGGCCCCCTCGTTATTACAGATTCACTGCGGAAAACCGCTTCCATACGCCCACGGGGGCAAGGGAAACGTTCCATTACGAAATGAAAAAGTTTTAACGCAATAAAGCCACCAGTCACCACGACTTTCCCAAATGGGCTATCGTAGCGTTGAGGATGTGTTTCCTTACACTGACGATGTTGAGCCTGTGCCGTTGTCTGTGTGTGTGTGTGTCTGTGTCTGTGTGTGTGTCTGTGTGTCTGTGTGTGTGTGTCTGTGTGTGTGTCTGTGTGTGTGTCTGTGTGTGTGTATCTGTGTGTGTGTGTGTCTGTGTGTGTGTCTGTGTGTGTATATCTGTGTGTGTGTCTGTGTGTGTCTGTGTGTGTGTGTATGTGTCTGTGTGTGTGTGTGGCGTGGAAGGGTGGCACGGCGGTTAGCACACCGCACTACAAACCCAGCGACCCAGGTTTCCAAGTTTCCACTCGCGGCCGATATCTGAACCAGTCCTGGGCCTCCGCTAGGTCAACTCAGCCTCAAATGAGTAACCGGCGCGGTGTTTAAACATCAGCACCGGGGGGACAAAGGCGGCCGGCCGTGGTGCTGATCGCCCACTCGTGCGTCGCGCCGGCCTCCGTCGGCGCTACTCGCTAACGGCACTTGCTCCAACGGCCTGTTGAAGGCCACGTGGTGGGGGGGGCTGGATCTTTGTCCTTTGTCTGTGTGGGGCAGATCGCAACGAGTGCAGCGAGATCCCCAACGTGTGCAGCCACGGCGAGTGCGTGGACACCCGCGGGAGCTACCGCTGCCACTGCCACAACGGCTTCAAGGGGACGGACGACAGCACCATGTGCATGGGTAACCACCGCCACCACCATCGTCGCCATCGCCACCACCGCCGCCACCACCGCCGTTAACGCCACCACCACCGCCACCACCATCGTCGCCATCGCCACCACCGCCGCCACCACCGCCGTTAACGCCACCACCACCGCCACCACCATCGTCGCCATCGCCACCACCGCCGCTAACGCCACCACCACCGCCGCCACCACCGCCGCTACCGCCACCATCACCAATGCCATCGCCGCCACCGCCGCAACCACCGCCACCGCCAGAACTCCATTCTGCATCTCCTCGTATAAATCATGCGATATGTACTCCGTCAGCCAGCTGGCCTTCCAGACCAACATTACCAGGCACCATTTGTTTAAGTAATTGAACTTGGCCATCGTGATCGCCAGCAACGAAGTTGCTCTACGTCTGCTACTCGTCATGCGCTCGCAGGCGGTTGTGCGCTGGCTTTCCTCCGCCACGCTGCCGTTGTTGGCGCCGACTTCCACTCGACTGCTTCCTCGCTTGCGCTCTGTGATTATTTATTTATTATTTTGCTCTTTTTTGTGGTTGTTGCTCTGGCTGATTGCGGCGAGCCGGGTCAGGAGTCAAGAGATTGACCCTCCCTGCCACCCGTCTCTCTCTCTCTCTGTCTGTCTCTCTCTCTGTCTCTCTCTCTGTCTCTGTCTCTCTGTCTCTCTCTGTCTCTCTCTCTCTCGCCCCCGTTAGACATCGACGAGTGTGAGCGCCAGCCGTGCGGTAACGGCACCTGCCGCAACACGGTGGGATCCTACAACTGCCTCTGCTTCCCCGGCTTCGAGCTCACGCACAACAACGACTGCATCGGTAAACAACCCCCCCCCCCCCCCACGGCACGTTAGCGTGGCGGTGTTTCTTACTATAGAGGTCGACTTGGGCTCAAATGAGTACCTTGGGTTGTGGTGTGCAGTAACATCGCCACTCGGGAGACAAAGGCGGCCGGGCACGGCGCTGGCCACCTCACCCCTTCTGTGCTGTCATGAGGTGCTCGCTAACAGCACTTGGCCCGACAGTCTGTCCAGGCTAAACTGAGGATCTTTATTTTAGTTTTGTATAGATATCCTCTAGGCTGACTCGGCCTTAAATGAGTACCTGGTGCAGTGTGTAAGTATCAGCACTGGAGGCAAAGGCGGCGGGCGTGGTGTTGGCTACCCACTCCCCTCGTGAGCAGTGCTGCTCTGCACAGGTGCCACTCGCTAACAGCACGTGGCCCAACAGTGGTGTGGGGCGGTGCGACGCGGCGTGGCGTGGTGTGGTGTGATGTGGTATGGTGTGACGTACATGACATGACGTGGCGTGGTGTGACGCGGCGTGGTGTGACGCGGCGTGGTGTGACGCGGCGTGGTGTGACGTGGTGTGGTGTGACGCGGCGTGGTGTGACGTGGTGTGGTGTGACGTGGTGTGACGTGGTGTTGTGACGTGGTGTGACGTGACGTGGTGTGACGTGGTGTGGTGTGACGTGGTGTGACGTGGTGTGGTGTGTTCCGACATGGTGTGACGTGGCGTGCAGACATCGACGAGTGCTCTGCGCCGAGCTCCCAGGTGTGCCGCAGCGGCCGCTGCTTCAACTCCATCGGCTCCTTCCGCTGCCTGTGCCAGGACGGCTACGAGCTCAGCGCCTGACAACAAGCACTGCGTCGGTACGCGGCGACGCTGCGCGGGCCTGGCGGGAAGGTCTTGCACGCGCGATCGTCGTCAGCTACCGTCATCATTAGTGGGGAGGGAGGTCTAATTAAAACTCACAGAGCGTCCGTTACTTGCCTTCTCTCCGCAAGGAGATGTCGTGTCGGTAACGTCGAGCGGTCCGAAAGGGCCGTGGCTCACGCTTGTCCGCACCCCCCCCCCCCCCCACCGCGTCCGCTCTCACGCTCCCTGCAGACATTAACGAGTGCGTGGCCGATCCCACCACCTGCTACCCGGGGGTCTGCCAGAACATGGACGGCTCCTTCCGCTGCATGTGCCCCCCGGGCTACGAGGTCAAGAACGACCACTGCGTCGGTAAGTCCTCGACCGTCGCCGGTACCGCGTCGTCGGCGTCGTTGTAAATTATTGTGATTAAAAATAAATCGCGATGGCTTTTCCCGACGATCGTCGCTCCGCCTTATTCCCCTCCTTCCCTCGCCACCTCCCCCTCCTGCTCCACCCTCTCCACCACGCGCGCCGCCGCAGACCTCAACGAGTGCCTGGTGGAGCCCAACACGTGCCTGTTCGGCGCGTGCACCAACACGCCGGGGAGCTTTCCGCTGCGACTGTCCGCCCGGCTTCATGCTGTCGCAGAACGGGCGCCGCTGCTTCGGTGAGAAGACTCCCGCGGCGCCGCCGGCACGCGGCTCGAATGGCGCGACGCCGATGGGTTACACCGCGATTGCGGCGCCAGCCATACCAGCAGCGTTGCCATTGATTACCGTGCGGGCGGTACACCAAGCTCGCTCCACCATCGGCGCAGCACGAAGACCTGCCATCGCCATCACCACCGCCATCGCCACCACCGCCATCGCCACCACCGCCATCGCCACCACCGCCACCGCCATCACCACCGCCATCACCACCACCGCCATCACCACCGCCACCATTGCCACCACCACCACTGCCACCGCCATCACCACCGCCATCACCATCACCGCCACCCCCATCGCCACCACCGCCATCACCACCACCGCCATCACCGCCATCACCGCCATCACCACCGCCACCACCGCCACCGCCATCACCCACTGCCATCACCGCCACTGCCATCACCACCGCCATCGCCACCATCGCCACCATCGCCACCACCGCCACCAGTCGTAATTAGTTTATTTGTGTCAGATCGTCGTGTAGGTATGTCAGTCTTTTTTACGATAACCCTCCACCACCCGATAGAGGCCAAACAAAACCAAGTTGTCACGGCGTGGGCAGACGTGGAAACCGATTTTGGGTTTTTCAGCCAAACCGGAGGAGGAATGTTGAAGAGCCCAAGTGAGATTTTGACAATTTCACCCAACGTTTCTCTGGAACTTACATCCAGCATCATCTGGAGTTGGCAAGCTCAGCTTTTGATATTTTACACCTCGACATTGATCTTCCCCAAAATTATAATGAATCGGAAAAATTGGTCGTGGAAGCCTACGCATAGAATCATGTCGGCAGACTGATAAGCGGCAGGCCATTATCTTTTCCTGTCAAAGTCGAGAAATCAAAGTGGTTTCCCGCTCACACGAGCCACTGATGTGATCCCCACCTGGCCGTGAGCCAATGGTGGCAATTCCACATTCTTTTGGGCAGAGGCGATTCTATCTGTAGGACAACCACTGTTGACTTTGCACAAAGTAGTACTGATTTTATCTCCCCCGGTGAGATGACATGATGATGGGCCGAGTCAACACCACCCCCCCAACTAAGGATCTGAATTTGCAACCTTCTGATCGCAAGCCGCTCACTCTGCAGCTAAGCCCACCTTGGCCGGTCATCGCTACGTGTAAGACAGTAATCAGAAGCAGTCACAAGTGACGATGATGAGGAATGATGATGATGACACTGATGATGATGGTGGTAACATTTACAACAGTGAGACGGTGGCCTCATGACATTGCCCATATGTTCGCAAATGCAAATAAGTTGACAGTGAATGAATCGTAAACCTTGGGAGCACGATGCTGCTGATGATGACGATGATGTACCCGTGACGATTACCGGTGATTGCGGTTCATGTTGATGATGGTGATGCGAACGACGCCGGTTCATGTTGATGATGGTGATGCGAGCGACGCCGGTTCTGCGGGTGACGATGGCGCCGGACGGCGACGACGGCGGCGATGTTGACGCTTTGGTGGTGCCCGCCGATGCCCACAGACACTCGCAGCAGCTTCTGCTTCTTGAACTTCGAGAGTGGGAAGTGCTCCGTGCCCCGGGCCCTGAACACCACCAAGGCGCGCTGCTGCTGCAGCGCGATGCCCGGCGAGGGCTGGGGGGACCCCTGCGAGCTGTGCCCACGGGAAGGCGAAGGTACGGGCCCGACGCGCACACACACGCACACGTACACACACGCACACACACGCACACACACACGCACACACACGCACGCACACACACGCGCACACACGCACGCACACGCACGCACACACGCACACACGCACACACACGCGCACACACGCACACACACGCGCACACACACACGCACGCACACACACACGCACGCACACACACACACACACGCGCACACACGCACACACACACGCACACACGCACGCACACACACGCGCACACACGCACACACACGCACACACGCGCACACGCGCACACACGCGCACACACTCACCATACATTCACCGCACACGCACACACACACACACTCACCACACACCCGCACACACGCGCACACACACGCACACACGCACACACGCACGCGCACGCACGCACACACGCATGCACGCACACTCGCACAAATACAACGACAGGACATGGCCGTGTGCCACTCAAAAGAAAACAAGTGCTCCCTTTACTTTCAAAAGTTTGGCTGCTGGATTGAGCGGTTGCCCCCCTGCGCTCCCTGCCCCACCTGCCCCACACACCCTGCCCTGCCCCACCCACCCTGCCCCACACACCCCACCCTGCCCCACCTGCCCTGCCCCACTCGCCCTGTCCCACACACCCCGCCCTGCCACGCCTGCCCTGCCCCACCTGCCCTGCCCCACACACCCCACCCTCCCCCACCTGCCCTGCCCCACCCGCCCTGCCCCACACACCCCACCCTGCCCCGCCTGCCCTGCCCCACCAGCCCTGCCCCACACACCCCACCCTGCCCCACCTGCCCTGCCCCACACACCCCACCCTGCCCCGCCTGCCCTGCCCCACCAGCCCTGCCCCACACACCCCACCCTGCCCCACCTGCCCTGCCCCACACACCCCGCCCTGCCCCACCCGCCCTGCCCCACACACCCCACCCTGCCCCACCTGCCCTGCTCAACCTGCCCTGCCCCACACACCCCGCCCTGCCCCACCTGCCCTGCCCCACACACCCCGCCCTGCCCCATCTGCCCTGCCCCACACACCCCACCCTGCCCCACCTGCCCTGCTCAACCTGCCCTGCCCCACCCGCCCTGCCCCACCCGCCCTGCCCCACACACCCCACCCTTCCCCACCTGCCCAGCCCACCCTGTGGTAATGCTGTACATTGATTGCACAGACGTTGTGGGTGTACTCCGTACGTGTGTGCCTTGAAGTCTTGTGTTGCGTGGTAGTAATAATAATGACGCTGCTGTTGTTTCTTTCAAATGACCATTGAGGCATTTGGTGCGCATCGCCCGTTTACAGCCATCCTGAGCTTGTTGAAGAAATTCCACATTCCTATCGCGGAGTTTGAGTCTGCCGATAGTATGGCCAACGTTGACTTCCCCCACAAAGTGGTACTGATTTTTATCTACCACGGAGGGATGATGGGCCGAGTCAAAACCTACCGTCCAGGATTTGAACTGGTAACCTCGGGGATTGCGAGCCACGTAGGATGACTGCAAGTAGGACAGGACTGGTGATGTCATGGCGGCCGCAAGTGGAACATGCCCGAGAGGGCGACCGCCACGGAGATGGAGCGAGGAGGATTGGTCCGTGCGCATGGATTAGGAGGGTGGCACCGCGGGACCACGGGGGATGATGCGTCGTTGATGCCTTCAACCGGCAGTGGATAGACATGCAGCCGCCAAGGGCGATGGTACAGCCGACACTAGGCGTCGGTGCAAGCACTTTTATTTAATTCTGAGGTGCCCCCTGGTCAGGGGTGGAGAGCTCGGTGAGGGAATGAGGCGATGTAAGAAGAAGATGCTCCTTGACGACTTTAACGGAAGGAATCCGTACGGTGAGAGGAAGCAGAGAGGTCAGGATTGGACAGCGGTCTTGGGCCAAAGACCTGCGCCGTACGGCAGACGACTGTGAGAGAGAGAGAGAGAGACGGACCGGCCATCTAATTCCCTCACCCTCCTCTGCTTCTCTCTCCGCTCTCCCCTCTCCACAGCCGGCTTCGAGGACCTGTGTCCCCTGGGAGTGGGGATCATCCCGGGCCCTGGGGACACGCGCGAAGGTGACCCCCTAGCAGCGACACGACCGCCACAACCACACGCACCGCACCGTAGCGACACGACTGAGAGGGTGGGGCGGTTGGAAACACGTGACCACAAATACTCGGCGCCGCCCGCTACGCAGTGGATGCTGACGAATCCGTTGTGACGTAGTTCTAAGAGAAGGAGCAGGAGGCCGCGTGCGCCGGTGTCATGGTAACACAAATTTACCGCATTTATGAGAAATCAATGTGCCGCGTGCAAATTGCGCAAGTGGCAGAACGCGCAGCAACATCGCCCCCTGCTGTGCAACTGCCCCAGGGGAGCGGCGGCGCAGCAGTTAGCACGCCGCGCTCCTGATCTGGCGACCCGAGTTCGATACCCGCTCACGGCCAACACCAGTGACGATTATTTTAACTGGTCCTGGGCCTCCCTCCCATTGGTCGACTCAGCCTCACACGAGTACCTGGTGCGGTGTGTAAACGTCGCCACTCGGGAGACAAAGACGGCCGGGCGTGGTGCTGGGCACCCACCCTCTCGTGCGCCGTGCCGGCCTTCGTAGGCGTCCGCAAACAACACTTGCCCCGACAGTCCATACGAGGCTATACGGGGGGGGATCTTTGTCTTTGTGGCGTAATTGTTGGCATCGCGCGTCCGCGTGTGCGACCGTGCTCCCAGACATGAACGAGTGCGTAGAGAACCCGGGCATCTGCACCAACGGGCAGTGCATCAACACGGACGGCTCCTTCCGCTGCGAGTGTCCCCTGGGTTACAGCCTCGACTACACGGCCATCAACTGCATCGGTGAGCTGGCCGCATGGCGCGGCGCTTTCAGATGTGCCCATGCGGCCGTCTGGAACGCTCTTCCTTTCCGATATTAGACAGCCACCGGAGCGGTGCACTTTCATATCTAGATTGCAAACGCATTTCTTTCGGAACGATTCGTCACCGGGACGACGCCTCCCCCCCTGCCCCCTGCGGCTCCCCCACCCCTCCCTCGTCACAGACACGGACGAGTGTTCCATCGGCAACCCGTGCGGCAACGGCACGTGCGCCAACGTGCTGGGCGGCTTTGAGTGCGCCTGTGATGACGGCTTTGAGCCTGGGCCCATGATGACCTGCGAAGGTAAATGTCCTCTCTCGCCCGCCCCCCCCAATGAAACGGCGTGAGTGACGGCTTCAACGAGGCGTTTGATTGCCACGTCCATAGCGACCCACAATGCCGTCCAGCGATGACTGCTAGAGCAAGTCAAGTACTGTATATCAGTGAGTAATTGATGCGTAAATTGTGACTTTGCGTGTGTGACTGCGTGTATGTGATTGCGCGTGTGTGACTGTGTGTGACTGCGTGCGTGACCGCGTGTGTGTGATTGTGCGTGCGTGACCGCGTGTGTGTGATTGTGCGTGCGTGACTGCGTGTGTGTGATTGTGCGTGAGTGACCGCGTGTGTGTGATTGTGCGTGACTGCGTGTGTGTGATTGTGAGTGACTGCATGTGTGTGATTGTGCGTGAGTGACTGCGTGTGTGTGATTGTGCGTGAGTGACTGTGTGTGTGTGATTGTGCGTGAGTGACTGCGTGTGTGTGTGATTGTGCGTGAGTGACTGCGTGTGTGTGATTGTGCGTGCGTGACCGCGTGTGTGTGATTGTGCGTGAGTGACTGCGTGTGTGTGATTGTGCGTGAGTGACTGCGTGTGTGTGATTGTGCGTGCGCTGCTGCCCAACAGATGTGAACGAGTGTTCCCAGAACCCGCTGCTGTGCGCCTTCCGCTGCATCAACACGTTTGGCGCCTATGAGTGCACGTGCCCCACGGGCTACACGCTGCGTGAAGACCGTCGCATGTGCAAGGGTACGGCGCGCGCACGCAAAGACAAAGGTCCCCCGTGCAGCCTCTGACAGACTCTTGGGGCAAGTGCTGTGAGCGAGCACCTACGAAGGCCAACACGGCACACGAAGGAGGTGGGCGGCCAGCGCCACGCCCGCCCGCCTTCGTCTACCCAACGCTGACTCGTGTCGCCGGGTTCAGAGCGCGGTGCCCTAGCCACTGCACGACCGCTCCTGGCACGTCCGTGCGTACTGCACGCAAGGACCGAAACACGTAAACGTCTGGGCGGCAGGGCGGGGCAGTGGTTACACTTGTGCATCACTGCAAAAAGCACTTGGGTTCAATTCTCGACTCGGGTGCCATTCCGTGCGTGGAGTTTGTGTTATCTCCCCGCTTCTGCGTGGGCTTTCTCCGGTTTCTCCAAATTCCTTCAATAACGGCATTGAGTTAAATATCCCATTGTAGCAGGGCGCTACTGAAAAAGTCTTCGCACTCAGTGGGGCTTTCCTGGTTAAAGAAACAACAGTCATTATTGTTACGATGTTCAAATACCAAATAGATACCTTTTGCAAGGAATCAAGTCTGCATTATTACCCACACTCTATTTGGTGTTTGAACCTCTTCACACCTCGTGTTTTATTGGCAGAAAGACCTATTCTTATTTTTCAACACTTTGATACTGGCGAAAAAGGCCCCGTGAAAATCATGATGATTTTTATTACAATATCATGAACCTGTGCACCCGTTAATGTGTGCGTCAAAAAGAGCGCGTGATGTTTTTTTGCCACCGTCAGTTGCACAGTTGTGCAGCACTTTGATCTGCAGAGTAAACGGGAGTCAGCGACTTGGATAACAAAGTAACGATGTGACGCATTCATCCAGGAAACGAGCCTCATGAGCCTCTCGGACGCTTCTTGCGGAGGGTCCCGCATTGATTTATTACGTTCGACAAAACTCCCGTGAGCGGGATGCTCAACTCGCAGGAGTGAGCCAGAGTTGCCTGGATAAAACCCACCACACCCTAACGGTCCGCCGTACAGACGGATCCCCGCGTCAGCGGCCTGTTCCCACCGTGTCCTGTCCAGCGCTTCAAGGAAACGAGGCAGATTTTAAAAAGAATATGGGACGTGTTCCTGAATAAACATTTTTAAAGTCACCTTACGCCCGAGACCCTTGGGCCCAGTATCACCAGGAGGCACGCCCCCCTCCAGCCCACCCCCTCCGCCAGCCCCCCCTTACCCCCCCGACCACCCTACCGCCCAGCTCCCAACGTGCGCAGCTCCTAGGCTTCCCACATGTTAACCACTCTGCTCTTCCCCAACAAGCTCTGTGAATGAGGACACGCACGACCCGGAACGCCGGGCTGCACGTTTACTGTCGGAGTGTAGCGTCCGTCGGAAATGCGAGCGGAGAAATATCTGAAGAAGAACAATAGATCAGCTGCGACCCGCGGTGCGGGCTCGCCGCTGGCGCTTGCGCTGCCGTCGCGGGCCCTCAACGGGAACCCGTTGTGCTAGCGGCGCTCCAAGCTGCTCGCGGCACTCCGTGTCGTCGAGGTTCCCGCTGTGAATCGATCGTCTCGTTGACTTTGCGTCGCCCGCGCGCGCAGACCTGGACGAGTGCGCGGAGGGACTGCACAACTGCGACTCGCGGCAGATGGTCTGCAAGAACCTCATCGGCACGTTCATGTGCATCTGCCCGCCGGGCATGGTCCGCAGGCCGGATGGCGAGGGCTGCACCGGTGAGTTTCGGGGGTGCGCGTGAACGCCACGGGAAATCCGCTGGCACCCGGCGACGAGACCTCTCTCCAGCCAACGAAGGCACAGCATGCCACGAACATGCGTGTTGCATTTTATGTATGTTATGTATAAATAACTTCTTTCGCACCGTACATAGCCAACCGCGCTAATCGGAGGTGCGAAAGATGGTCTACACCCTCGGGTAGTCACATGACCTCTGCCCGTGATCTGGTTGGAGGTTGCCATCCCATTTGCCCACAATGCCATGCGTCGACCAGATTTTTCAGGGTTTTTGGAAACTACGGCGTTTTCTTTTTCGTTCTCTGAGAAAACCGTGGAACAAACGTTCCTGGCGACGATTACCCTAAAATGTGTCGTAGTGTGTCATGGCCTAACGGGTGCCATGGTCAACAATGGTCTCCACCAGTGCTTGGTCTGAGCTTCAGAAATTATTTCCCCTCACGGTGGGTGGGGGGGATGAGGATGGGAGTTTGGAAAATATTCCATGAGAAATCCAGCCCTGGTCCTCGTCCACAACACCGCGCCGTCCCCTACCCGGCTCTCCCCTACCCCGTTACGCCGCCGTGCCGACCACCGACCTCTGGACGACCCCTGCTGTCCGGAAACCCCCCCCCCTCCCCCCAGACGAGAACGAGTGCCGTGCCAAGCCGGGCGTCTGCGAGAACGGACGCTGCATCAACACGTTCGGCAGCTACCGCTGCGACTGCAACGAGGGCTTCGCGGAGAGCGACAGCGGCGTCGATTGCCTGGGTATGCGGGAGGGTGGCACGGGGGGGGGGGCGGATGGGGGGGCAGGGGGGGCGGCCCCCAGGCTCCGACAAGCCCAGTGCTAGCGTCGCTCAAGCCCTGCGGGGTGACTTGTTTCTCCGCATTACTCGACGCGGGTGCCGCGGTATCTGTGCAAAGCTGGACACGTTGCAAGTTTTGAACGTTCTCTGTGATTACGACTGCAGCTTCGATTGCCAAAAACACACGATGAAATAGGGAGAATTTTAGTAAATGTGCCCCGTTGTTCAGCGTTGTTGTTCAGCGTTGTTGTTCAGCGTTGTTGTTCAGCGTTGTTGTTCCACGTTGTTGTTCAGCGTTGTTGTTCCGCGTTGTTGTTCCGCGTTGTTGTTCAGCGTTGTTGTTCAGCGTTGTTGTTCAGCGTTGTTGTTCAGCGTTGTTGTTCCGCATTGTTGTTCCGCGTTGTTGTTCAGCATTGTTGTTCCGCGTTGTTGTTCCGCGTTGTCGTTCAGCGTTGTCGTTCAGCGTTGTCGTTCAGCGTTGTCGTTCAGCGTTGTCGTTCCGCGTTGTCGTTCCGCGTTGTCGTTCCGCGTTGTCGTTCAGCGTTGTCATTCAGCGTTGTTGTTCCGCGTTGTTGTTCAGCGTTGTTGTTCAGCGTTGTCGTTCCGCGTTGTTGTTCAGCGTTGTTGTTCAGCGTTGTTGTTCAGCCTTGTTCAGCGTTGTTGTTCAGCGTTGTTGTTCAGCGTTGTTGTTCAGCGTTGTTGTTCAGCATTGTTGTTCAGCATTGTTGTTCCGCGTTGTTGTTCAGCGTTGTTGTTCAGCGTTGTTGTTCAGCGTTGTTGTTCAGCGTTGTTGTTCCGCGTGCTCGGTGGACCACGCGGAGCGCCCCTTGGGCAGAGGCCACCGGTCCGCCCCGCTGTGTGACGTTTTTGAAAATAAAATGCCGTATTCTGTGCATTATAAATCGCTCTGGGCCTAATATATAATGAATACGCTTCAACACACACACCCCCAGCTTAATGCCTTTCAATGTAGAGAGCGGAGCATGAAACAACAGCAACTCTAAAGCAGCGACAAGACTGCAGTCGTGCTCACGAAAAGGTTTCAATTTTTTCACATTGTACTTCTGTGAACACAACCCACCTCTGCCACGACACACACCGTCTGTACACACACACACATGCACCTTCACACCCACTCCCGTGCTCACGCCTACCTATTTACAAACACGCGCACTCCTGTTAAACACGCACGCACGCAGACAACCGCCAGGGCCTGTGCTTTGCCGAGGCGGTGCAGGGCCTGTGCCAGATGTCTTCCAGCAGCCGGCAGGCCGTCACCAAGTCCGAGTGCTGCTGCGACGGCGGGCGTGGCTGGGGCGGACACTGCGAGATGTGCCCCTTCCCCGGCACGCGGGAATACCGCAAGCTGTGCCCGCACGGGCCGGGCTACACCACGGACGGACGCGGTCAGCATGCAGCGCACGCACGCATACACGCGCGCGCGCACGCACGCAACAAAGACAAAGATCCCCCGTATAGCCTTAACAGACTGTTGGGGCAAGTGCTGCAAGCACCTATGAAGGCCGGCATGGCCTTTGTCTCCCCAGTGGCGATGTTTAATACACACCGCACCAGGTACTCATTTGAGGCTGAGCCGACCTAGGGGAGGCCCAGGACTGCTTTAGATGATTGTCACTGGTGGTGGCCGTGAGCGCGAGTCGATTTCGGGTCGGCGGATTTGTAGCGCAGTGCGTTAACTGCTACACACTAAACAATATTCAAATCTCTTGACACGATATTAAGCTCTGTGCTGCGTAGGGTTTTTTTATTGTTACGAGTGGAGCTGGAAAGATCTCTTGGCCATGATTGGTCGGGACGGTACGCTGCAGTGTGTATCGGAGGGGTCAGTGCACTGATTTTGGGGCGCCACGGTGGTGAGATGCTAACTACCTTGCCTGGTATACAGGAGGTCGTGGGTTACACCATCATCATCACGGTGGCTAGGAAATGTTAACTACCTCGCTTGGTATACAGGAGGTCGTGGGTTCGTGCCGACGCCTGTGTATTTGGAGTTTGCGTGTTCTCCCTGTGGTCGCGTGGATTTTTCTCCGGCTCCTCTGGATTTTGCCTCGACATTTAGAATCAGCTTCTGTTTTAGAGTATTTGGCTGCTATAAATGTCCACATGAAAATCCACTTTTGTTGAACTGTAATGTGTGGTCAGGTTTCTTCTGAAAAAGGGCTAAATAGCTCAGTGGGACCTAAGCTGGTGAAATAAAAATAGAGAGAATGGAGAAAATTACATCACAGGACGCCCATGAGCCTAACAGCTCATTGGGCCCTTCCAGTTGACATAAATGAAATCTATCTGCCGATAAAAAACAAATCTCTCTTGTCAGCTCCTTGAGTCACCCCGGTGCCTTCAGCCGCTTCTCAACGCCTCACTTTGGGTGACCGGCTGGGGTAGTTTCGGAGTCGGATACCTAACGGAGGCGAGCGTCGTAGAGGCGGCGTCCGTCACGCCACACAAGCTGAACGGGGGGGGCGGTCCGCGTGTCTGCTGGACGTCTGCTTCGTAGCTCATCGGATTCCTCCGGTATGAGCAAATAAATATTCTGATTCTGATGTTTCCCCGCAGACATCGACGAGTGCAAGGTGTTGGCCAATCCGTGCCACAACGGGGAGTGCATCAACAGCGCCGGCTCCTACCGCTGCATGTGCAACCGCGGCTACACCACGGACATCACCTCCACCGCCTGTGTCGGTAGGTCCGCGGCGGCGTCTCCTCGCTCGAGGCGTCGGCAGCCCGAGGATTGCGTCGTCCGAGGAGACTGAGTAGTTTTGACAGTGGACGGTGCTCAACGTAAGACACAACTCAAAACAACAAGCGGCTGCCTACGTGGAAATGTGTACCCAACTAGGAATTCGTTTCGCATTGAAACATTTAAGATTTCACATTTTTTTCGGACAATTTCAGATTGAACAAAAAAAAATCCCTTCCACGATTTTCAGATAACCCACAGGCGCGTAACCATTTGCGTGTCTTCCCGCGTGGCTCCTTGAGCCCATGCGGGAAAGTCGCAGGAGCGACGCAACAACAACGACAACAACGCACGCGCGGCGTCAATCGAGGTGGAGCCACTGAGGCCGCCGCCACACCGGCCGATCGACCCAAAGCACGCCGCCGCCGTACACAGCGGTGCGACGTGGGCACCCTGGAACGAAGAAACGCTTTTTGTTCTATTGACGAGCGAGAGAGACGGTCACGGGCAGCAGGAAAGGGGGAAGTGCTGAGCTTGAATGTGCAAAGTGTTTGCTAGACTCAGGAGCCACAGGGAAGTGGAAAGGCAGCCACATGATGAGCTGAAGCCAACAATTTCCCAAGCTCTGCAGCCCTCTTATATTTGAATATCTTGTCGGCCAATTGATGAGTGGAAAGAAACCAGAGCGTCTGGAGGACACCTAGACGTGCGATGGGGAAACACTCAATCCCATACACACGGAACATTATTATTGTTTTGTTCTCCTGGCGAGCAAGGGAAGGGAGTTTCGTGACGTTTGTGTGATCCGCCAACCCTCGCCTCCGCAGCGCTGAATTGCAGACACGTTTTACTCGTCGCTACATTCCTTTGGTACCCTTATGTGTTGCCTCTGCAGACTTGGACGAATGCTCACAGTCGCCCAAGCCGTGCAATTTCATCTGCAAGAACACGGAGGGCAGCTTCCAGTGCTCGTGCCCACGTGGCTACATCATGCAGGAGGACGGCAAGACCTGCAAGGGTGAGCTCTCTCTCTCTCTCTCGCTCTCTCTCTCTCTCTCTCGCTCTCTCTTGCTCTCTCGCTCTCTCTCTCGCTCTCTTGCTCTCTCGCTCTCTTGCCACCCTCCCAAAGAAGGCCGCTCCTTTCTCCACCAGAGCCACCCCGCCAAAATGACCAACGACGTGTGCGTACGTGTGAGCGTGCGTACGTGCGTGTATATATGTGTGTGTGAGCGTGCGTACGTGCGTGTATATGTGTGTGTGTGTGAGCGTGCACACTTGCGAGCGTGCACCCGCGGGTGTGCGAGTGAGCGCCTAACACTGGGCGTGCTTCGTGTCTGCCCGCGTGGCGCCGCAGACCTGGATGAGTGCGCCAGCAAGCAGCACAACTGCCAGTTCCTGTGCGTCAACACGATCGGGAGCTTCAACTGCAAGTGCCCACCCGGCTTCGCGCAGCACCACTCGGCCTGCATCGGTGAGCACCCCCCCCACCCCCCCGCACCCCCCCGCACTCCCCTACCCCCCCCACCCCTCAAAGCCCCCTACCCCCCCACAGCGCCCCGGTCCCCAGACGAGAGTTGGTGTGACGCGAGGGGCGACGGCGGCGTTTCTGTCTGGAGCTCGCGCGGAAGCGGCGTGGGCCACGCCAAACGGGCTGTTGGCGAGCGCCCGTTAACGCCGGCGAGGAAAATATAACAATGCCGACGTTTAGTTTAGCGCGTTGCGTCGCCGACGTTCCTGCAAACTGCATCTCTCGCTGTTGCCCAGGGGGATTGCGGAGAAGCGGGAGAGGCAGCAGCTAGGCGGTGAGCCGGTGCCAAAGGTTTCCCAAGCTCTGCGGTCCTCATTTCATTAAGATATTTTGAGTGTAAATACACGAGCGTGTATTGTGACCAGACTCATGCCTTGATGTCTTTGTCCATAGTGCTGATGTTAACACACTTTTTCAGGCTAAGTTAACCGAGGCAATTGGATACCCGCTGGCTACCGATGGCCTTTCAAGACCCGGAATTGAACGCAGGTCACCGGGGTAGCAAGGGCACAGACCCTCAGACACACACAGAGGTACATCAAGTCAAAGATCTCCCATCTAGCCTCTTCTAACACTGTTGGAGCAAGTGCTGTTAGCGAGCAGCACCTATGAAGGCCGGCACAGCACACGAGGGGGATGGGTTGCCAGCACCACGCCCGGCCGCCTTTGTCTCCCCAATGCTGATGACACCGCACCAGCTACTCAATTAAGACATGCGTTGACCTAGGGGAGACCGGTTCAGATACGCACCACCGATATTTGCCGTTAGCGAGAATCAAACTCGAGTGGCAGGGTTTGTAGCGCAGCGCACTAACCATTGCACCACTGCTCCCCACATAGGTACGCAAGACAAAACACAAAGACACCCCATATAGCCTTACCAGACTGTTCGGGCAAGCTCTGTTAGTCAGTAGCATCTCTGAAGGTCGGCACGGCACACAAAGCGGTGGGTGGCCAGCACCACGTCCGGTCGACATAGGTACACGGACACACGCGGACACACACACATACCTATGTAACCCCGCGTGTCCGTTCCACTCAGACAACAACGAGTGCGTCTCCCAGCCGAGTCTGTGCGGCGCACGAGGAATGTGCCAGAACTCGCCGGGCAGCTTCTCCTGCGAGTGTCAGCACGGCTTCTCCATCGATGGCACTGGGGTCAACTGTGAAGGTCAGTCAGCGGCACTCCACAGCTCGGCTCTTCTCCATTGCCCATTCACTTCCTCTTCCCTTCCTCTGCCCCTCCACTTCTCTCCCCTACCCTTCCCCAACCCCTACTCACCCCTTTGTCATGACCCCTCCCCTACCCTTCCCAACCCCTACTCACCCCTCTGTCGTGACCCCTCCCCTACCCTTCCCCAACCCCTACTCACCCCTCTGTCATGACCCCTACCTTTCCCCAACCCTCTACTCACCCCTTTGTCATGACCCCTCCCCTACCCTTCCCCAACCCCTACTCACCCCTCTGTCGTGATCACCCAAACCTCATCCCTTGCACGCACCCTGCCATCTAAATCGTGGCTTTTTTTTTAGTACCATTTTTTATTATGATGTGAAGCTCGTCGATTGAAGGCGCTGTATAAATACAAAATGAGAATAGAGATAAGGTGCGCGCTGGCGTGCGAGACCTGCGGTGTCATTCCCCGCCTTGCTTGCACCCCTGTAGTGCGGCGTCTGAGTTGATAACGCACCCGGTGTGTACTCAGCGACTGGGAAAACAGCAGCTGGATAAGTTTCGGTGAAAGCCACGCGTGTCATTTGCGTGCTCGCGATGCGTGTCTGCGTGGGTGTATTTCGATGCGTCGGGAGCGGCGGTGCAATGGTTAGTGCGCTTCGCTGCGAACACGGCCACCCGAGTTCGATTCTCGCTCACGACCAATAATAGTCGGTGAATATTTGAACCGGTTCTGGGCCTCCCCTAGGTCAACTCAGCTTCAAATGCGTGGGCTCAACCCATAAATCAATGGCTGGACAAGAACAAACAAAAACCCAATCACGTTAAATTTGGTCCTGCGCTTTATTTGGCTGAATTCCAGCTTTGAGATTTAAAATATCTGTTTGGCCGTCATGCGACGAACCTCACTCTCTTATGGCAGAGCGACTAGAGTAAGTGCTGCCCTCTACTGCGTATGGACCCCGTGTGGTCACCTGCAGGTAGCTCTATATTCCCCCCTGGGCCGTTCTCACATCACGAAGGGTGTCGCAGCGCTCCCGCGAGAGATCCGTGCGGGACATATCATCTCTGTGACGCCGACGACGGCTGTGAAACACACACAAACACACACAAAGACGAAAAAAAAAACCCGCGCTCGCAATGCGATCCGTTTCTTTCTGCAGACGTCAACGAATGCGACGGCAGCCACCGGTGCCAGCACGGCTGCCAGAACATGCTGGGCGGCTACCGCTGCTCCTGCCCGCAGGGATACCTGCAGCACTACCAGTGGAACCAGTGCATCGGTGGGTGCTGCAGTCACACCAAGCACCACCCCCCCCCCCCCGCTTCCCGCGCCACGTCCGCGTACCGCCGTCGCCTCGTCTAGCTCCGCCGCCGTTCTTGGGGCTTTCAAAGTAAATTCTTCCTGGCGGCGGCGACGACTTGGCACGTGGCCTGTAACCCCGCACTGCGGATCGCGCGGAGCACGTGTCGTCGGCAAGGGCTCAACACGAGGGTCAGTGGACTGCCGCGCGAACGTTGTGCGAAACTTCCCTTGCCGTGGGCGTCGAGGAGGTGCCGTGCCCTGCCCTGGCACGCCAGGAGAATGCGGCGGTGGTGCGGCACAAATGTGGACTTCCGCCCGTTCCGTCTGTTTGGGATCGAGTGTTTCCCCCTCACACGCCTGGGTTTTCTCCGGGTGCTCCAGGTTTCCTCGCACATGTAAACACTCATTAATTGGCCGAGTACAGGTTCATATAAAGAGGACCGCAGACCTTGGGAAATTGTTGGCACCGGCTCATCGCGTGGCTGTCTTCACGCTTGTATGTGGTTCCGCCTCTTGCCTCCCTCTCTACAAGAGTGAGCGAATACTGCGTGGCAGGTTACAAGTTGACGTCATTCTCGTGATGTTCATGTTATATGTTTGGTTATGGCCACTACTTAATGATTGGCAAAATTGGTGTTGCTCTCCACCACCGTATACAGCCCCGCACTTTAACTTGTCACGTGGTGCACAAGCGTTTAACGATCTTTTCATTATTATTTTGGCTCACCGGTAAATTTAAGAACAATAATAATATAATTATAACAATTCTTATAACCAAATGTAGTGAAACTACATCAATCATCATCGGGGAAAATCCAGGAAGTCAGCATAAAATCCCCCCAACCCAAACAAATCCACTTACATCGTGCTGTTCGTCATCGTCATCATTACCATCATCAGCCATGAGCTATCCACTGCTAGATGAAGGCCTTTCCAAGCCTTTGCCAACTCTCACACATTATCATGAAGCTATTGAAGCCACTAAACTAAAACTATTTTTTATTTTACAAGGTAAGGCCCACTGAGCTACGTAGCTCTTTTTCAGTTGTGACCTGGCCACAAATGAAAGCTCAACGAAGTGGCTTATCACGTGGAAATTTAGAGCAGCCCAAATACTCTCAAATGCGTGACGTTGATTCTAAATGTGGAGGGAAAAAACAGTGGGACCCGGAGAAAAATCCACGCGACCGCAGGGAAAAAATGCAGACTCCAAATATAGAGCAGGCGTCAGGATCGGGTTCGAACCCACGATCTCTTGTGCACCAGGTGAGGTAGTTATCATCTCGCCACTGCGGCGCTGCAATCATCGGTATCAACCCAACTAAATACGATCCAAGACTGGAGCCTGGGGGCCAGCGCCGCCACCATGACGCCGCCACTCTTCGTGTTCGCCCCTCCCCTGCTCACCTCCCCGCCCCCCCCCCGCGCTGTGAACCATGCAGATGAGAACGAGTGCGCCAACCGGCAGCTGTGCGGCTCCGCGTCGTGCCACAACACGCTGGGCAGCTACAAGTGCCTGTGCCCCTCCGGGTTCGCCTTCGACCAGCACGGCGTCGGCAGCGGCTGCCAGGACGTCAACGAGTGCTCCGGCTCGCACGCGCCCTGCAACTACGGCTGCTCCAACACCGAGGGCGGTTACCTGTGCGGTTGTCCCAACGGGTACTACCGCGCCGGCCAGGGGTGAGTGGTTCTCGTCGGGGTACGGGCCTAGCGCGGACGAGGCGTTCGCGTTCGCGTGTAAATGCACGTGGCGGAGTAAATCGAGGTGGGCTCGGAGTAAACCCACGCGGATTCGCGCGAGTCGCCGCCGGTGCGAGAGCTCGCCAGGACACGAGCGCGACGACTCAACCCGCTCGCTCTTGAGCCTCTACGCTTCCACCGTTTCTCACCCCCCCCCCCCGCCCGCCTCGCCCGTGCGCAGGCACTGCCTCACAGGCCTAGGCTTCGCCCAGGTCAACGGCGGCGGCGACGAGGGCCTGGAGGAGTTTGACGGGGCGGAGCTGGTGGAGGCGCCGGAGGGCTCCGAGGACGCGCTGTCGCACGAGGCGTGCTACGAGTGCAAGGTCAATGGCTACGGCAAGGCGGGGAGGCTGCGGCGCAGCGCCAACGGCACCGGCGGGGAGGTCAGCCTCGCACACCGCGCACGTTGCGCGCGCCGACACGCGGCACTCAGAGATGTTCGTCCTCGGAGCTGGAAATACGCTGAATGTAGCAGAAAAATAATTTTATACGACCGTTTTTAATGTGCACTATTGACCTAACTGAGACCAGCACCTTGCTGTGCCTCAGAACGTGATTTTGACAAGGGTGGCTGAAACTCAGACACCCTGTACCCTAATACTCCGACAGTGTTATCTCCCCTGAGCCACCATCTCATCCCACCTCCGTCCCCACCCCACTCCCCCTTCCCCTTATCCCGCGCTCGCAGCTGGAGCCCATGAGCCTGGCGAGCGTGGACCTGGACGCGCCCGTGACGCTGCGCCTCAACGCCTCGGCCCTCCGTCCGGGCGAGCCCTTGCTGCGGTTCACCCCGGCGCTCGCCACCCTCAACCGCCACGTGCGCTACGCCGTGGTGTCGCGGGGGCCCGGCTCGCGCGCCTTCCGTCTGCAGCCCAAGGAGAACGGCGCCTGGCTGCAGGTCGCTGGTGCCGGCAAGGACCAGCACGCGAGGCGGAGGGGTGCCGGCGAGCTGCGGCGCGGGCCGTACGCGCTCGAGATCGTGGGCCTGCCGACGTTCAAGCGCGCCGAGATGCGGCGCATGGAGCGGCAGCACGACGCGGATTACCTGCTGGGCGAGCACGGCGCCGCGCTGCGCATCAAACTGAACATAGACGTCTACTAGGCTCACGCGTGTACTAGGCCCGCGCGTGTATTAGGCCCGCGCGTGTACTAGGCCCGCGCGTGTACTAGGCCTGCGCGTGCGTGTAAGCGGAGCGGGCGGGCCGGCGTTCGTTGATGCGCGCCCACGGAGGTCGAAGTGGTGAGGGTCGGGGAGGGTAGATCGTCGTCGCGGCCATTGTTGGTGATTTGTGTGGAATTGTTTCAAATGAAATATGAAGATAGTTTTGACGTTTTGTAAATGAAACACACTCCCGGTTCTGTCGTCGTATTTCTTTTGTTTAGGAAGGTTCCAATGAACTTTTCGCAGACTGTAATTATGTCGAAGTTATCATGAATAATGCCAAAGTAAAAAAAAAAAGTGAAATTATGGAGATTTTTGAAAATTTTCCCCCAAGTGCAGCGCTAAATTCACCCCACGCCGCTGTGAGTGTGAAATTCTCAGGGCCACGAGCGGCTGTCATGGGTCATAGGTCATCCGTTGCGTTTGTTGTTACCGACAAGTTACCACGAGAACAGAAAAAAATCTCCAGGCACTCTCACAGTTTGTAGTCCTCGAATTAAGCCTCAACTCCTGTTGCTTGAAATGTCGAAATTAAGGACAGAAATGTCCCTTGGAGTGTTTTATGCAACCGATCACTGAGCATTTAAATAAATTGGGCTCTCTGGTATTTTAATGCCATGGACGGTTACGCTGACGTGTTAATAACACTGGTGTTATTACTGTAGTCATTAAAAACGTATATTTATTGAATGCTACCAAATGACTTCAACACAAAGTTTCTCACAGCAGCTTTCTCACCCCTTTCACCACGAAATGTTATTTGATATCTCAGGGGGCCCTTTTGGCAAGACGCAAACAATGAAATTCAATTGGCTCAACGCTTCCAAGCGGTCGTGAACGTTTTTAATTGCAGCGCTGACGACAGCTTCCACGGCGCCAATTAATTTACCAAGATAATATTAATATACCAAATTATAATTTTAATGGAAATTTTAATGGAATCATTTCTCCGTTTGACTTTAGCGCACGTTAACACTTCACCTCGTTCGCCAATTTTTTTTACCTCGGCGTACTGGCGACCGTCGCCATTCGCATATAAACACACCAACCCGAGTCGTCAGATAGGCTTAATTATATAACCCGTAAAAAAAATGTTTTTACAGAAAGCGGCATAAACATGAAAGGGGAAGCTTTCAAAATGCAATTGCACCGAGCGTTGAGCTATCGTCACGTTTGCCGTCGCACAGCGGCGAGCGCTGTCACGGAGCAGCACGTCATTCAGATCACCGAGTTCCAACGACAGCACGGAGATAGTCCGCCCAACAGCGACGCTCGCCAACTTACCGCTTGACATTGCCCGCACGTGGTAGTTACGTGGTAGTTGCGTGGTAGTTACGGCCCGTGGCACGTTGAGGGCAGTCGGGTTTCACCGGCCAACTCCGTTCACGATTCCCGGAGTTGGTGAACAGCCCAATGTGACTTGATCTCCGACTTGTTCAGCCGGAATCTCCGACTTGCTTCCCAAACGCGCGAGTTTTAATGTGACAACCAATCGGCGTATCGCTTGAAATTTAAATGCCCGCCCCCACCCCCCTTGTCGAAATGACGCTACGATTCGCAACACGCACCATATTTACATGGCCACTTTTGATTTCTTTTATCCACAAGAATACATGCAACACGTGCCGTTTCCAAATCTGCTGACGCTCCACATCTGCTAATGTTTAGACAAAAACTTTCGTGTCCTCCCAATAGGACATGAGCTTGGTAATACATCCGAAAGTGATTGGATGATAGGAAACTATGAAGAAGGAAGATATACATTTTAAAATGGCTTTAATTGGCAAGCACTGCTTCTCATATGAAAGTAAGATGTACACTTTCACCACGGGTGCCCGCGGTGGCGATGAGGCTGCTATGGGGTGCCTTGCTAACATTTTAGAATCACTGCCTGCAACGCGTGGAGCTGCAGCAGCAGCAGCAGCGCTTCTCAAAAAAACACGCAAAAGAACACGCGCTCTCTCGCGCCGCAAGCGATTAAAAAGTTGGCGCGCAGCTCGAGGAATGGGGCTGGTGATAGAGCCCCTACCTCGTGAACTCTGCGCGCTCGCGCGATCCATGGTCGGGGCTTCAACTCGGCACGTAACGGTCGTGGACGTGACGGATTTTATTTTCCTTCTCTTGCAATCGGTGCTCGGTGTGTTGTCGTCACACGCGTCGCAATTTATGGTGCTAGCGGTGGCTTTTGCTGGGGCGGACCCAAGCACGCGTTGGCTGTTTGAGAGAAGACCTTTTGCGGGGAAACAAAACGAAATTAATAAAAATTGTCTCGCCAGGACATCCTTTGCCGCTAAGTCTTAAAGACTCCCTTTTAAGGAAAGGCCCAGGTTTTCAAAATCAGATTTTTTTTTTTCCCCATCGGATTTTCCTTCTTGAGACGTTTCTCCGTCCTCCCCTCGCCGCGGTGGCCGCGTGTCTTCTCCTGGTCGAGCTGAAGAATCCGCGAGTCTCGTCTCTTCAGCCAAACCCGTCCACGGCTCGTCTCGGCAAAGATGTCACTGTGGGGGGTTGTCGGCCGGTTTGCGCCGACTGCCAGCGCACTGCTGATGAGGCTGGAATTAATTATCCTTTGTTGGGAAAGCCTTGAATTTGACACCACGATTATTAGTGATGGGGGGGGGTTATTGTTTTTAAAGCATTCACTGTGGTAATTCATAATGCTTTATATTAGGTGTTGTGACTTTTCAGAATTATTATTATTTAATGTTTTTGTATTTTTATAATTGTAGCATTGTCTCATAGAAAAAAAAAACACAGACTTCTGTTAGTAGGATCTTCTTTATAGCTTGGTCAGGTATAGATCACAGACCTCTATATGTTTATTTTTTATTTTTAAACGATGAAATTAGTTGAGGGTGAAGCTTACAAGGTTGCAATCTTGAGCTGAATGCCGAAACCCACAACAGCAATTTTGTCGGCAGTATATTTCACTCGCCCCCCACTTCCCATCACGATGATTAACAGCGGTTGAAATATGCATCGTTATTTTGTGTTTGTTTTAGAAGTCATAGACGTCTTTTTTAAAACTACAATTTGATATAATGTACAAAGTGAAATGTCGAATACGTCTCATTGTATCTTCTCTTGAGCTTTAACGGGGAGGTGGGTGGGAGGGCTGGGTGATGTTGGCTGTAAGTCGGTCAGTGTTCGCCCAGGGTCGATAGACGTTTACCCTTCACGGGTCTAACGTGACTGAGCAGCCAGCAGCAGCAGCATCATCATCGTCGTCATATTTAAATGTTGAGTTTGTAACTTTAAAGTGGCACAGTCTTACGTGACGTACAGCAACATTGGAGACGTGACCTCTGTGACCTCCGTGACCTCCTTGACCTCGCCACCAGTCCATTATTTGTGTTTGACAAATTCTCGATATGTGAAAAAAATAATCTGTTTAAACTTGAGCTACTTTTATGAAGTCATCGCGTTATGAAGGATTACCAGCATTGAGGGAGGGCCTGAGGATTTATAAAAACGTGGGATTTTTACATTTACATTATTGACATTTTTTTGTATCTGGTTTAAAATGAAAACTGATTTTTTTGTACAATAAAAATTGTGTGGAGCAACCTGTTGTCCAACCAATGGCTTTATTATGATTTCAAAATTATAATTCAAACCGATCTATCTGAATCATCTCAAGCCTCCCCGTAAATCACGTGACGTTTGTGGCCACGCCCACTCTGAACCCCTCCCCTCTCCTCCCCGCCCACTGTGAAAACAGACGCCGGCCTCTCCGTGCAGCAGCGCCAAGGCCTTCGTGCCGTCTCTTCCTCCCCATTTTCGTCGCTCCTGGCTCCCCGCGCTGCCGTTTCTCCATTCCCGCATCTCCGATTAGCACAGTTGGCTACGTACGGTGCGAAAGAAGTTCAACATCAGGCGTGGTTCGTCCACTAGGGGCGTTGGGGCGCTGCCCCACCAAGCAGCTGGAGATGAGAAATTATTGTCCTATTAAAAATACTTTTCTATAAATTGTTTTGTTGTGTTGCATTTTTTAAAATCATAATTCTTTCAACGTGAATTGCCTCATAAAGATAACATTTTAAGTTAATATTAGAAACCGCTGCCACACCAGTCTGATTTGAGCCTCGGGGAGGTCTCGGGGCGGCTGTGATTGCGTCCCGAGTGAGAGATGTCCCCCTTCATTCACTGCATTGCAGCCACGCCGCTTGAGACCACTTCAGGGCGATGGTGAAAGAGGCGCTCGCGGCCTGCACGCACCTGAAGGCCGCGTCAAAGGTGTTGTGTCGTGTGGACTTGAGGGTCACGGGGACAAGCATTGGAGTGCTTTGTTGTTTAGCTTCGTATTGTTTATAAAGCCTCACCGTTGGTAGACAAGACAGTTGCATCACGGGAAGGCCAATAACATGACAAGGAGGTTCTTCATGAGAACATCTTTTCAGAGGTCACTCACGACAGCCCCATCTCGTGGTAATGTCACCAGCCGCCACTGACTAACAACACGGGAATTTGCCATCCTCTTACTTCTCTCCTCTCCCTTCTCTTCTCGCTCCACGCTCGTCTCTCCATGCATCACATCCCTGACTCCACCTCCTCTCGTCGTGCAGACACGCCGACGAAATCGCTCGTGCTTTACATTCATTTGTATACTAACGCTACTATTTAAATTACATTAAAGGGTAAAAACGATCAGATTTGGTACAGAATTCTACGATACATGGCGGTCCAGATATATTGTGACCCCCCATTTAATTCTGTAAAACCTTTTTCTTTTAAAGTGAGGTTTATTTCAATGTAGGGGTCAATTAATTTTGGGGGGTCACAAGACATCTGCACATGTATTGAATTAAATCTCCAGCCACCCTCCTCGAGCGAAAGAAAACTGCGTTGTATTTAAATTGTAAGACAAGACAGACACACATTGGCTTCATCAAGAAGGAAGCCCGAGGCATCGTGAACATGACGCAATGCGCGGAGCTGCGTGCAGTCAGCAGCCTCATTGCAGCTGGTTACCATTATCTCAACATTTATTGTTGTTTTCCTACAGTCACAAACAATAGCTCTTATTATTTTATTATTTCCTTTATACGAGACTTTACCGAAAGAACCAAGAATATGAATCCCTGCAGTCACGAAAGCTTTAAATCGAAAAATAGCTATTCGTTCATTAGATCATGAAACATGTGTTTGCAAGACTGGACAGAGTGAGCACGTGTCTGGGAGGAAACAATGCCTTGTTCGTTACAGTCGATAATAGACCAAATGGGGTCTGTTGTTTGTGATCTAATAACGCCTATGACCAGGCGAGTGTGTGTGTCTCTCTCTGTGTGGGGAGCGGTGGCACAGTGGTTAGCGCGCTGCATACGCAAACGAACCCGACAAACCCGAGTTCTATTCCCGCTCACGGCCAACACCAGTGACGATTATCTGACCCGGTCCTGGGGCCTCCCCGAGGTCGACTCAGCCTTAAGCGAGTACCCGGTGCGGTGCGTAATCATCAGCACTGGGGGAGACAAAGGCGGCCGAGTTGGGGGCGTTGGCTACTAACGCCCTCGTGTGGGCTGTGCCGGCCTTGGTCGCTGATCGGGGAACGGTCCTCGGACCGGTCCCCTTAAAACAGACACCCCAGTCACCCCGTGCCGGACTAAGCTAGTGTGGGGCCTGTAGCACGTTATAAAGGGGCCCTAAATAAAATAAAAAGCGTAAATATTAAAACACGAATTTTTTACTTGCACAGTAAAGTTATTGTATTTTTTCATTTGCTATACAGCCAGCTAATACGACAAATCGCTAACCTTAAACACCCAGTCGTTCATACAAGTTGAGGGCAGTATAGTACTATAGTAATAGAGCAAGTGCAGAATCACTGAACCGGAATTGATAGCCTGAAAGCATTTAGCGCAGGGCCGTTGAAAGTGTGGGGCCCGTAGCTACATTTGTAGCGACTTTTGCTACTAAGATCATCCGGCACTGCAGCCACCTGCCCCCCACAAAGTCCACGGCTCCGTCGCACGTGCTGACGGCGTGGGCCTGGCTCGCCTGGCTCAATAAACCCCGGGACACTGGGAGAAGATGAAGACAAAAGCCACTCACTGCACACCCTACGTTCTCTGGAAGGGATAAGGTCGGGAAATGGGGAGGCTCCCACCAAACGCTGCGAAGATTGTCGCCGCTTCGGCCGTCCACCGGTAACGAGTCGAAGGTCAGACCTCATCTTCCTGCCCGGTCCTGTGGCCAAGCCACTTATTATTATTATTTACCCACACGGTCTAAACACCAGAAACATCCTGCCATCGCTCTTGACCGTGCGCTCACCGACCGGCCAGCACCTACCAGTAACACGGGGTCAAAGGTCAAGGCGAGGTTGTGAACCTCGTGGGGAAATTGCAGGGCCCCACCTGGGGCAGCTGAGCCAGGGACAGCCACGCAATGCGTCACTCGCCCAACGTACCCGCTTCATGGCACCTCCTGCACCGTGCTGCTCGAACCCGGCTCAGCAGTCGTCTGACAAACCTGGTGAGACGCCCACCTCCGGGCAGCCGTGAGCACCACCTCCCGGGAGCACTGAGACCCAACTACAGCTCGAGTGGGCTTCCTGCCCTAGCCCACACTTGTACCTACAGACGCCCGCAGAGGGGAGACATTCCCCGAAACGAACACCAACTGGCTCTGAGCCCAGCGAAGCCACGGGACCTCAACATCCCACGCGCACCCCCCAACGCACACGCAGCTCTGAAGTCCCGCAGCCCCGACTGGAATCCACTCCAAACCCCGACTCGGACGGTATGGGTAGTGGGGCAGTTGGATCGGCCACTGAACGGCACGGCGGAGAGTTTTGTGGGGGCTACGAGTTTATTTTCCCATACGGGGTGTACTCGATTTACGAAAGGGATGCGTTCTTGAAAAAAAAACGCGTAAAACGACGTCGTGAATCGGAATACATTTTCTCATTAATAGATTTTTATTATTTTGGTCATTAAAACTCTACTCTTAACCTAAAACAATATACACCTATATCACTTTTCACAACACTCAAATAATGAACAGGAATATTAAAACGGTTGAATAGTTTAAAAGAAAAAATACCTTTCCAGGGAACTCTCTGAAAGATGTTGCTGCATCTTGGACTGGCGATGCGATGTCGGAGGCGTTGCTGCTGTTGTGTGATGGGGACACCGTGACGCGGTCGCGGATGGATGGCGCCAACCTCCCTCGTGGCTTCTCGTTTGAGGTCACTGCGCGTGTCGTAGAGAAATTTCGCTAACGCGGAAATTCGATTACGTTAATCGGGGGAAAAAATTTGTGTCCGTAACTTGTCAATTTACGTTAACGCGAAATGTCGTTAACCGAACGTTCGTAAAGCGAGGGATACCTGTAATTGGGGGGGAAAAACTCAGATGCGAAGCTCTGCATTGTCCACCCCTATGGTGTGTGCGTGATTTTAAATTTACAACCTGGATGGTCCGTTTCTTATACAAGGGACTCCTCTACTTATGAACTTACGAACTTTCGGAGATACGAACAAACCTGTCCGTATGTCCATTTGCCACTTCGAACCGACAGTCGTAAGTTCAACCACCGAGCAATAGATGGCGGTGGTGGCATCCACAGGAGACTATACAACTTTTAAAGCCATTCCCCGTGTTTAGTGTACATGTCGTGCAACGTGTTTGGTATCGACAGGAGTAAAGTTGGACTTACGAACAAATCGACTTACGGATACCTCTGGAACCTAACTCGTTCGTAAGTAGAGGAGTCCCTGTACACGTGGATTACTCCTGTGCCTTAACCGCTTGGTGTTGGTGAATTTAATTGAAATTACCTTTTAAACAAAAAGTGACGTGAGCCTTTAATGTTAGGGGTCGTCAAAACACAAGACGCTACAAAGGTAGGCGCACCAAAATGAGCCACACAGTTATTGATTGCTCTGAACCGATGGCAACGTTTTCATTTGTTTAATTCCTCCCAAACACAGGTCAACACATTAACCGACCGTATTTCTCATAATTTCGCGGGCGAACGATTCGGTCACGTGGATTACCTCCACGTGGAAATCACAAACAACGCCACGCGTTAATGCAGTGTCCGGCGCAACCACTTGGGTATGAATTGTTATAGGCGACAGATCGAATTGGCGTATTCTCTGGATTGTAAGGCGCACTCGCGTAACAACGCGTGTGGAGTGCGTGTGGAGGTGCGTGTTTACCAACAGAGTGCTTGGTACCCCCCTACACCCAAAACCTCCCCACCTCCCCACCACCCGCGTACCCCCCTTACCCGCGCGTTAAATGGCACGTGGCTTGAAGCCAATCAGAACGCTGGGACGTGGTGGTGTGTAATATGACGTTCTAGATTTGAAGCTTTCGTGACTGCAAGAATTCATACTCTTAGGTTTTTTTTTTCCTTACGTGACTTTACCAAAAAAACCTAAGAGTATGTAATATGACGAACATTGGGTACAAGTTGGGGCGGGGGGGGGGCATGTACCAACCCGCATTGACCAGTGCGGTGAAGTACGGTCAAAGGGCAAGTGTGGTTCACACGGTTCGGGTGTCCTCCCGCAGCGAACACAGCGTGGCTGGTGATCGATGTCTGCAGATAATTACGAGACGCACTTATTCCCCACCCCCTCCCCACCAACCCCTCTATCGCGTACCGTGTCAACCCGTACGGTGTGCCCCGTATTCTTGCACAGAGGGATTGAGTTGTCAGGTCCATAAGGCGTACAGGCGTTTCAACATGGGCAACAACAAACACGTCTTTGTTTGTGTTTCTGCCTTGTGATGGGACTTTGTAGGATGAACGTTGAGATTTACAAGGGCCACCGGGTGACCAACAAGGTGTGAATTGGTCTGTGATAAGGCAGGCGCTGATAAGGGGTTGACGGGTTTGTTCTCGTATTTTAAAGCAAATGTTGGGGGTGCATCTTAGAGGGGTCCCGGTAAGCGTGTCACCAGACTTGTCGACTGGCTGACGCCGCCGCGCCTAGCAACGGCGGCGTGACGTCACAATGCACCCGGCTTGGCCAATGAGCGCTCGCGCGCGTGTGCGCCGAACCGAGAGCCGGCAGGAAAGGATCGGCGCCTACCGATTTGGCCGGACTTTTGACGCGACCCCACACCTACAACCGCTGACCGTTAGCTCCATGCCACAAATGCTCTCTTGTGGCTGCTTTACAAGGACTTGTTCGCTAGACGGACGAGCCCTCCGGAGAGCGCTTCTGCCCCGTCGAACGCACCGCAGGTCTTGGGTGCGTCTCACTTTCCGGAAAGTCTTCACGATCCGGGGGAATGCGGTAAATAAACACACGAGTATTGGGCGATGCCTTATTTGCGAACACTCACACACACACACGCGCAGATTTTCGACGGCACGGAATCCTCGCCTATGTGCTGTTGTAGCTTTATATGCTACGCATGTCACACGCACGATATAACTTAACAGCGACCAGTAACGCGAGCGAGGAGGCTATTGTGTGCCGCATTGCATACTCTTTTGCAGGGGGGGTCACGGACACTCTGGAAGCTGGGAGTGTCTGAGAAGTGGGCGGTGGGGGGTGGCTGGTGGGGGGTGGCCCTAAAATTCGAAGGTTTTTCAATATGGCCCTACGTTCATAATAAAGACAATTCATTTTCTAAATCGTCCCCCTCCCCTGTCCTTCCACTTGGATCTGCCACTGGGCTTGTCCCACTAGCTGGATGCGGATTACTCTCCGTTACAAAGGTGACGGAGAGTAATCCGCGACGTTCACTACACCCCACTGCGCTCGAATCGGAGGAAACTCGACGCATCCTCCGTCCGCTGCCGAGCGAGTTGCTGAACCCTCCCACAAGTTTCTCTGCGCAGCCCAAGGAAGTGAAGTACGGATGAGTTTTGCATTTCTGATATTTCAGATCGTGGATTTTTGTCAAATTTTGGAAATGTTTATTTTTATTTAAACTGATGAACGTTTATTGGGTTTAATTGTTTACACACCGAATGTAATACCTTCACGTTTCTAATGTATTTTGTTCAACAAGGCGAGAAATCGGGAGTCCAAGATGAGTCAATTGCAAGAGTGACCTCGGGGGAATTCGTCTGCCAGGAGGTGGCGGTGATTTCCGTTTACGATCCCAATTCAGTAAATTTGCGGCGTAATTCTTCAAGTGTGGACCCTGACGCCGGCACACAATGGCCGTTGCGCCGCATTATTAACGGGGGTGGCCGCCGCTCGATTCGAACTTTGAACCTCTGCTACGAGCGGCAAACGCTCCACCGCTCGAGCCACCTTTGAAAGCATTCGTCGCTGAATCGTGCAATTTGTAACGCGAAGTTGCGAGCGTAAACCAAGTAATTGTACCTTGAACACGAGTGTGCGGCATTTTATCGTCGCACTAATCGGCTTCTAGAGGGGAATATCTTCGATTTGGTGACAACGGGTTTCTAATTCTAGCGCTGCCTTCCGCCGCCGCCTGCCACCGTGACGGCCTCTCCCCACTGCTACATGCCACGTCGTTGATGGATGATGCCGAGCTGCGCGCCTTGACGTGTGATCCGCCGCAAGCATCCGGAAGTCTAATTGGACCCCCTGATGAGCAAGAAGATCACCACCCCTGGCTTCGTGGGAGATCGCTCGTTTTACTCTGCCGTCCCCGAAGTCTGCAACGCCCTCCCAGCCGTCTGTGCTGTCGACTCCCTGCCTGCTGCTCTCTAGTCCAGCCTCAACACCTTCCTCACCATCGCTCACCTACGAGCGCCACGTCCTCCCCACGACCTGAACCTGCCCCACCGTCTCAAGATGCCGTTTTTTCCGTCCATGACGCCGCACCAACGTAAAGTCGCAACCGTGAAGGTTATCGTAGTGGGAGGCTCGGTAGCGCGCGGTCGACAGCGGCGCACGAGGTCCGGCCTGCCTGGCGACCTCGCCGGGCCACACGCGCGCTCGAGGGCTCGCGAGTAACCACGCCGTCTGTCGAGCTCCTCCCCTCTCCCCGCAAGCGCCTGCTTCCCGCACGGCATTGGCTTCAGTCGCACGGCGAGACCCGGTGCTCCTCCCGTTGCAACGCTCGTTGGCGTCCCACGCCGCCGTCACTTTAGCGATCGCAATCATCTCCCCGTACGATGCAGAAGGGTGGGGGGAAGGGGCGGGAGGGGGTGGGGGACAAGGGGGTGTTCGTCGAGCGACGCGAGAGAGCACGCGACCGATCGTGTGCTCTCGCACAATCTCGTCTCGTCTGACAGCCGTCGCTGGCGATGCCCAGGAGGAGGGAGACAGCCGGACGAAGTTGGGTTGCGTTTTGTGTAGGTCCCATGCGCCCGCCCGCCACCCCCCCCCCCCCCCCCCCCACACCGTGCAGCGTCGTCGAACTTTTGGTTTCGTCGGACGGCCAACCACGGTGCGACGTCGCTGGCGAGGTCGCGGCTGTACCCGCGAGGTGACGCGCCCCCCCCCCACCACCCCCGCTCACCCCCCCGGGCCGACGCCGTCACTGCGAGGTGGACGCCTCCGACTCCCTGCTGGGAGACGGCAACGCGAGGGTGAGCACTCGCGCTGCAGCGCGCCTAGAGCAGGGCGGTCTAAGCAGGGGTGACCGCGATGGGCAGAGTGGACGGTGGATGGCAAGAGGCTCCTCTTACACTCGCACATCTGAGCCGTGCCAGCGCGGCAAACGGGTGTTTGTTTCTTTTCTTTCCACTGGCTGCTAAACGAGCCGAGCTGCAATACGAGATTGCTCAGGGGAGGCCCAATCCGGTCGCGTGCGGGGAGCGCGCTCGAAGCGAGCGACGCCTACGGCGAGACCAGATTGGCCCGGTCCACCTCGGCATTCGCGGCGCGATGCTAGGACCGTGTCGGTGCCAGCGGTCGTGCCGCGGCAGCTCCCCGATGTGCGTTCGGGGTATGGGTGTCCACGACGCTTCGCTCCACGTGCCGGGAGGGGTCCTGACGTCACGGCCGTTGGACGTCACGCGCTAACAACCCCCCAAAACACTCGCCGGAGGGGCTCTGCTGATTGGTTTTGCGAAGGAAAGCTTGGGGTGAGCGGTGGGGTGGGGGGGTGTGGGGGGTTATGGGTCAGGGGGGTTATGGGTCAGGGGGGTTATGGGTCAGGGGGGTTATGGGTCAGGGGGGTTATGGGTCAGGGGGGGTTATGGGTCAGGGGTTAGGAGGAGGAGCTGGGGCTTACATTGCGGCAGCCACGGCTTTAAACAAGGCGTCATCCATTCTGTGTTAAGGCGACAAAACAAAAACCAAATCTGAAACCAACGCAAAAACAAAACGAGGGCAGCAAAACGAGCGACGAGGTGACGGGAGAGGTTCAATAGAAGAGGAATTAATCGGGAAACGGAGGGCGGGCGATTAGGACAGGGCGATGTTTTACGGTTGCTGCGATATGGCGACGCCGACGTTGCAATCATGGCTCGTTCCCATCTTATTCAATCTTTCCATTTTCTCGACCAAAATGTTTGTGAAAGAGCAATAATTAAGAGTTCGTAATAACAAGAGTGATTAAAGTTCGAATTATGTGGCTATTACCTGCTAAACGAGTGCCTTGCAAAGCGTGTTCTGGTCCAATTGACGGCACGTGGTTAATCTATACATTAAAAAAAGAAATTCTCGCGTAACTGACGGCACGTGTGTTCGTAGGCACTGTGAAAAAGTTACGGTGACTGGCACGTCCGTCCTATGGCAGGCTTGCGCTGCCGCGAACCGCAGTCGAATGACATTCAAAGCGACCTTCATTCCCTGGCGGCAGGCACGGCGAAGCAACTAAAGCGACACGATTGTGAAAGAAAATTGCCCTAGTTGAGGGAAACCTGCCGTCATGAAAAATCATTCCACCGCGAACCTTCAAATTGTATATTTCAAGATTGTAAAACGATATCGCGGCAACGCTGGCGAGTGTGCATGCGCAGGGGGAAGAGGCGTGCTGCATGCGGATCCTGGGAGTGAGGGAGAGGGGAGGACTGTGGAGAGGTCAGAGGGTAGGGGGGTGAGAGAGCCCTTAACCTTTGACCCGCCCCGCTTATAAGACCCTTCGCATGGTGTGGTGGGGCCGGCCTGGGAGAGGTCGTGGCTGGGCGTGTGGGCAAGGCGAGGTGAGGCCTACCTCTCCTCCTCGGCGACGGCCTCCAGCTCCTGCCGAAGTCTGCACCGTGACACGTGGGGACCCCATTAAGCACAGACCGTCCACAAGCCAGGCTCTTCGTCGTCATCATCATCCACTGCTGGATGAAGGCCTCTCTAAGCCTTCACCATCTCTCACACATTCTCACGAAGTTATTAAAACTACTAAACCAATTTTTATTTTCACCAGGTTAAGGCCCACTGAGCTATGCAGCTCTTTTTCAGATGCGACCTGGCCACAAATGATAGCTCAACGAAGTGGCTTATCACGTGGTAATTTATAGCAGCCAAATGAGCGTTGATTTTAAATGTGGAGGGAAAAACCGGAGGACCCTGCGAAAAATCCACGCGTCCACGGGGAGAACATTCAAATTAGAAATGTACAGGCATCAGGGTCGGGATTGAACCCAACGACCTCCTGTATACTGGGCGAGGACGTTAACTTATCGCCACCGTGGCGTCTTCAGTTAGATTCTCTCCGTTCCGTCTTCGGCTCGACGCGGGTTCGGTGGAGTCCAGCTCAGGGGTCGGCAACCAAAATAACCAGAAGAGACATTTTTTGTCGAATTCGGTTCACAACTCAACATTTCAAGGGCCGCAATGCACTGCGATGAATACGAGACGGCGGTCCTTTATAAATAACGTCACGGAGCAGTCCTCAAAGAGCTTCACGCGGCTCCGGAGCTGCACGTTTTCCAGACCCCTGATCCAGCCCAATCAACAATCCATCCTACTCCCTACGGGCGCTTTCCCTCCTTTGGCCGCCACTCTATCATTCGTGTCGGCCATCGTTTATCCTTCGAGCAATGCGGCCTGTCCAAGCCCCACTGGACTTTTTTGACGGCCGATGTGACGTCTGGAATGTGTACGTCCCCTAATCTACGCGTTCCTCTTCTCGTCTCTCAGTTTGGGAGTTCAAGGGCTCACTGCCCCCCCTACCCCTCACTGCCCCTCCCCCCCACAGCTAGGGGAGGGAGAGCCGCGCTGGAAGTTGAGGAGTGCCCTGAAGCGAATGCTGCCCGCTGGTCACCGCGGTCCACCACAGAGATACGTCCCTTGAGCTTCATCCCTCCCCTGGCTTCATCGCAGGTACGAGTGCTTCTACGGCACTATAATCACATTCCGTCTACTACTGCTGCTCGTGCGCCGCCGTGCAAGGTCCCCTCGTCAGCGTGATCCGCAGGTTCTTTCGTTTTGTTGAAGAGAGAGAAACCGCGGACCCAAAAAAGACGATGCGTTTTGTACAAAATGTTGCACGTGCGCGTATCCATGCCGGATTAAAACTCGCTGGGGTGATCGATGAGCCGATTGGTAGCGCCTCCAGTGGCTGCAAGGGGTGACGCAACTCCATCGCACAGAGCAGCGGTGGCCAACACGTGGGTCGCTAAATATGAATTTGTGGATCTCAGGGATTAATATCCGTGACAAACGCTCACATAAGCACAGACGCCTGTTTTCGTTATGGCTGATGGCAAATAAAAATCCCCGAATTCAGAATTCGTACGCTAAAAAATTACATGTGTGTATATCAACTTCCTCTAAATAGATGGTGCTGGTACTTTGTGTCTCGCATATTCCAGGGTTAAATGCATTCGGATAGCTGTCAGTCAGAGCTTTCTGGTGGAGGCAAATAAAAATCATTGACTAAGAATTAATAATGGTATTCCTTCGTTATTCACAAACTTGCTGTCCGCGAATTTGGCTATCCGCAAATCGCATCTGGAATTCTACACGACGACTGCTGCATCGAGAGAGATAAAGTGATGAGAGATAAAGTGATTAAGAGATAAAGTGATGAGAGATAAAGTGATGATAAAGTGATGATAAAGTGATGAGAGATAAACTGATGAGAGATAAAGTGATGATAGAGAAAGCAATGAGAGATAAAGTGAAGAGAGATAAAGTGATGATGGAGAAAGTGATGATATAGAAAGTGATGCTAGAGAGAGTGATTAGAGATACAGTTATAAGAGAGAATGCGATGAGTTAAAGTGAACAAAGAGAAAGCTTATGTATTTATTTGAGGTAATTCATGAAATAGATGTTTTCGTAGGCCAATATTGTTATCCGCGCAATTTTCCATTCATGAGCCTGTCCGGAACGTATCCCTTGCGAATAACGAGGGAATACCGTACCGTCCATAAGAAACAAATATTTCTACCACAATATATGGCGCGAGTACTTCACGTCCCGCGTATATTACGAGGTTAAATTCATCCGGCTAAACCGGTGGTCAGAGCCCTTGTGGTGGTGGACGACGATGACGGCGGCGGAGCGCGTTGAGAGGCACCGACGTGGATCAGAGCGCTCCGCGGACCGGCCACCGGTGGCACGGAGTGTTTTGGCGAATCTCACGACGCCGCCGATTCCTCGCCGGCGATTCGGCGCGTGCGTCTGCGAGCTTAGGCTATTGGCCAAAGTTGCCTGCAAATTACTCGGTCGGCCGCACGTCACACGGACGTCGCTCTACCGACTGTGAGGACTGGGCAGGTCCCTCCGGAAAGAGACTTGTACGGCGTAAACAGTCGTAATTGTAATCATAGTAACTGACCGATGTTAAAGAATGATATCGATGCATCGTTTTTTTTTTTTGGGCTGGCCATCGAACAAAGACGGTCACCGCATCGCGCACTTTCAGATGCGCTTCTGCAGAACGTCTGGAACGCTCTTCCGATATTAGGAAGCCACTGGAGCTAGACACTTTTAAATAATCTAGATTGAAATGTCATTTCTTTAGAACTGCTTTTTGTGTTTAGTTTGTTGTCCTTCCCTTGCACTTCCAAATATCCACGGTTGGATATTCATGGTGCAAATGAAGTTCAACGTACAGTATTTGCATTACACCTGTGGGTCTCACCTCATTGTTTCGCTGGCTTCCCTCAACTCCTCCTCGAGCCTGCACACATCGTCAGCATCAACATCATCGTTACCATCATCATTAAACACCATCATCACCATCAACATTAACAATGTCTTTTTTCCATTTAAATATTTCACCGGGATAATAACCCTGAGATTAGACACCTCGTTTGCAAGGGTGTCAAGTGACACATTCATAACAAGCTCGTGATGACAACTAACAAGGAAAAGATCCCCCATATAGCCTCAAAAGACTGTTGAGGCAAGTGCTGTTAGCAAGTATGAAAGCCGGAACGGCATGTGAAGGGGTGGGTGGCCAGCACCACGCCCGACCGCCTTTGTCTTGCTAGTAGCGATATTTACATACCGCACCAGGTACTCAGTCGACATAGGGGAGGCCCAGGACCGGTTAAGATATTCGTCACCGGTGTTTACTCTGAGCGGGATTCTAACTCGGGTCGTGGGGTTGGTAGCACGGCACACTAACCACTACACTACCGCTCCCCACACACATAACACATAACCACTACACTACTGCTCCCCACACACATTACACATAACCACTACACTACCGCTCCCCACACACATAACACATAACCACTACACTACTGCTCCCCACACACATTACACATAACCACTACACTACTGCTCCCCACACACATTACACATAACCACTACACTACCGCTCCCCACACACATAACACATAACCACTACACTACTGCTCCCCACACACATTACACATAACCACTACACTACTGCTCCCCACACACATTACACATAACCACTACACTACTGCTCCCCACACACATTACACATAACCACTACACTACCGCTCCCCACACACATAACACATAACCACTACACTACTGCTCCCCACACACATTACACATAACCACTACACTACTGCTCCCCACACACATAATACATAACCACTACACTACTGTTCCTCACACACATAACACATAACCACTACACTACCGCTCCCCACACACATTACACATAACCACTACACTACTGCTCCCCACACACATAGCACACACATAACCACTACGCACACATAACCACTACACTACCGCTCCCCACACACATAACACACACATAACCACTACGCACACAAAACCCCTACACTACCACTCCCCACACACAACACACACATAACCACTATGCACACATAACCCTAGGCCCTACACTACCGCTCCCCAAACACATAACACACAGATAACCACTACACACCAAAACAGACATACACAAACACGGCAAACCGTATACAGTGCAAACGTTTTCAATATTAAACTTCTAAAGTATATATTTATATTCATATTCTTTGGGTCTTTCGGTAAAGCCACGTAAAAAATAATCACAAGATCACGACGTTTCGATCGCAACACAAGCAATCGTTATCAGGTGAGAGCTGCTGAAGCAGGAAGACATATCAGGCGTGAGCGCTGCTGAGGCAGGGAGTTATAAAGGTTTGAGATGGGTGTGGCCCAGGGGTCAGTGGGCGGGGCTAGAGATTAAATTTGCATGTAAAGATAGGAGAAATCTTGATAAACGAAGCTGTGGGGGTGGCCATTGCATTGTGATGTATGCATGCAGGGTTAAATACGCGGTGTCACGGCCAACGCGGCTCGCGCAAACGTGACACCGCGAACACGTGACTAGATAAAACATCGCGCGGCCAGTGTGGCGGGACCCATTGTGCCTCCCAGCAAGAGGGTTCCAGATTCGGTTCCCTACTCGGGGGCCTGCGTAGAGATATTTGTTTGTTGATCTCCCCCCGTTCTGCATTGGGGTTCCTTCAGCCTTCTCCGCGTTCCCTGGCACAGCAGAGAAAACTCGCAAGTGCCACCGGACTTGGCCAACCATCCCAATGCTTTACGACTTTGCTGTTGGTGCTTGCGAGTGCGTGTGCGTACAGTGGAACTTCTTTCGCACCGTACGTAGCCAACCGTGCTCATCGGAGTGTGGCGATGGTTGGACAGCGAGGGGTTGGGGAGACGGTGGGAGAGACGCCAAAGGGGGAGAGAGAGGAATGCCTCGTTTCCACAGGCTGTGGGAACAGCCCTGGCTCTGGGTTGGCACCGAGCCGGACCAAATGCCCCTTTTCCACTGGCACATCTAAGCCGAGCTTGCGCGGGGCCCCTCGCAGCAGGTGGCCGTTCTCCACCGGATAATTGCCGAGCCGGAAACTAGACCATGACAGGGAGGCCTCACATACGTCTGCATGTGGATCGGGCCCAAGCAGGGCCTAGAGGCGGATGGGGCTCCCTCGCTCGGCCCTCGCTCCAGGCCCATCTGAAGCAGGGGAGGGGCAGGATGCGGAGCGAGAGAGGCCCATCCCAGGTGGCCTCGTGGCACGCGGCAGCCGGGCCCTGCCGCTGCGACCGGGCCACTGGGCCACTCGGCTCCCCAGTATTCGTGGAAACGAGGCAAGCAGAGTGCGCGGGACCCCGAGGCAGAGAGGGGAGGTAAGCACGTGGGGGGTGGGGGGCGTGCATGGGGGGGAGGGGGGGAAGGGTATGGAGGGGAGGGATCGGGGGATGGGGGGGGCTGTTACCTTCGCTTTCTCCTGCGGAACCGCGCCTCCTCTAGCCTTCATTGGGGATGGGGGTCAGGAGGTCAGGGGGGGTCACACGAGGTCACATGCGATGGGGCACAACACACGGCGAGGACGCTGGACCGCGGGCAAATAAAAACGGCAACGGCAGCGGCGGGATCGATGGCGGAGACGATGGGGCACAAACATGCAGTGTGGCGCGGAGTGTTGCGAGTGCACGCGGGAGTGTGTGCGGGCGAGTGTGGGCGAGTGTGGGCGAGTGCGGGCGAGTGTGGGCGAGTGTGGGCGAGTGTGGGCGAGTGTGGGCGAGTGTGGACGTGCGCTCACCGCATGACCCCATCGGGGATGTGGATGTGCTCCATGGGCAGCATCTGAGCCAGCTCCACCAGGCTGTGCACGTAGCGGACTTTACTCGAGAACTTGGTGCTGTAAAGACAAAGATCCCCATATAGCCTCAATAGATTGTTGGGGCAAGTGCTGTTAGCAGGCACCTATGAAGACGCGCCTCCGATTAGCACAGTTCAACATATGTACATACGAGACCGCATGTCACACGAGGGGGTGGGTGGTCAGCACGACATCCGGCCGCCTTTGTCTCCCGAGCGGCAATGCATACGCATCGTGTCCGGTAATTATTTGATGCTGAATCGACCTAGGGGAGGCCCAGAACCAGTTCATATAATCGTCACTGGTGTTGGTGGCTAGGAACGGGAATCAAATTCGGGTTGCCAGGTTTGTAGCGCAGCATGCTTACCGCTACACTACTCAGTGCTGCTCACGCGCACACACAGCATCGTCGTCGTCATCATCATCATCATCATCCACGATCGATCCACTGCTGGATGGAGGGCTCCCCAAGCCATCGCCAGCTCTCGCGGCGCCACGACGATCAGTCTCGTGGCCCGGACGCGAGCCCACGGCAACGCTCCACCTGTGGCCCAGTGGAGAGTAACTCTCCACGTGGAGGGGCTATGCAAGATACGACTGACAGCCCCCCCCTCCTTTCTCCCGACTCCACTTTTACTCAAATTGCTACGATGTTTTTAACCCCGTACACAATAATACGTCGGCGATAACTATATATGTGTTATGTTAGTTGCACTGTCTTTTGGGTCGAGAGGAAGGCAGTCTCACAGCGACAGTGTTAATAAAAATATTTAAAGGTACAATTACTCGCAATTAAGTTATCGTGCGTCTTGCTTTCATGCCGGCCCATCGGTCGAGGATTTCCTCAAAGGGGGTGGAACTTGATGGTGTTCTGTTGACACGTTAGCCGGATGCGTTCAATTGGGTTTGGTTCATGGCAGACCGCAGGTAATTTTTTATGAATATTTTTAATTCAGAATTTTTCTTAACATGTTCTTACTTACTCTTTGGCTCTTTCGGTAAAGTCACGTAGGTGTAAAATAAAATAAAATAAATCAAGACGTTTCGGGCGCAACACTTTCCCACCTGATGATGGACGCTTGTGTTGCGCCCGAAACGTCGTGATTTATTTTATTTTACACCTACGGGACTTTACCGAAAGAGCCAAAGAATATGGATTACTGCAGTCAAGAAAGCTTCAAATCATGAGTGATCTTACTTATTTATCTGTTGATTCGGGTTCCCCCCCCTTGTAGCCGACTAGCCCCCTACGCATCGCACAACGCTGCCACATACCCCCCCACCCCAGCCCCATCGTCGCCCCCTTGCCACCAGCCCATCGTCTCTTGAGGCGGCGTCTCGCCCAGGCCCACTTCCCGCTCTTAACGTTCCTGAACCTGCGTACTTGACGCGTTTCTCTGTCTGCCCATGTCTCGGTGTAATTCCAAGCATGTACTTCCCCGTGCTCGCAGACTCACAGCGCACATGCGGACAAACGTTTGCCGTGCGGCTGTACGGACTGTTGGTGTGGGACGTGCGAGCAAGCGAGCACCCATTGAGGCCGGAACATTTAAAAAAAGCCTGGTGGTGGTCGTCTCCGGCAGGACCTTACCATCCCGTGAATACCGCTGAGCACCGCTGAGTACCTGTGAGTACCCGTGAGTCCCCACGAGCATCCCCGAGTACCCCTGAGTAACCGTGAGTACCTGATGAAGGGCCGGGAGAAAGCCAGCACCGTCCGGATGAACCAGGATGGGTGAACGATAACCAGCGACTTGAGGTTCTTCCGTAACCTGCCGGCACAAGCGCGGTTAGAACGGCACCGGATTCAAGGTGGCCGGGCGGCTCGGAGGGCAGAGACGCCGAATCCAGGTTTCAGTCGCTGCCTGTGATTACACCGGGCTCTCGGTTGTCGTGCCTTTAGCCGGGCCACCAACGGCTGCACGAAAAAAATCCCCATCATTCAATTTGTTTGTGCACTTAATTATGGGTGAATTTCATCTGAGCGGCCACTTTGGTTGCGAGCGCGGTGTCCCTCCATTCACGAGCGTTCGGTTTGCTTATCGAAATCTCGCGACGACGCGATTGACACATTTATTATTACTACTACAGGAACTTTTTCGACGGACGAAATCAAATTTCCGTGCGAAACAAAATTTGACGACGGCCTCCACATCGCCGCGCCAGTCATTCCAACTTGCAGCAACTTCTTTTGTTCAGTTGCCTGAAAAGGTCATTTTTTTAAATTAATTATTCACTCCTTTTAATATGATGTTCTTTGTTATAATTTTTTTGCATTGTGTAAAGTGATATAGATGTATATTCTTAGGTTAGTAGTACAGTTGGAAGGACTGTTCGAAGTGGGTGGCCAGCACTTTGGTGGTGATGTTTACACATCGCACCGGGTACTCAATTGAGGCTGAGTCGAACTAAAGACCAGTTCAGATAATCGTCACTGGTGTTGGCCGCGAGCCTATAATCGAACTCGTGTTGCTGAGTTCATAGCGCAGCGCACTTGCTGCTACACTACCGCTCCCCACACACCGAAACACTAACACTTATACACACGCGCATAAACACACGCACTGAAACAGTAACACTTATACACATGCGCAGACACACGCACTGAAACACTAACACTTATACACATGCGCACAGATACACGCACAGAAACGCGACATGGTCCCACAGAGAGACACACTCACACACAGTTATGCACACGTACAGGCACACAGCAAAGCACACATACATAATTATGTACACGTGTAAAGACATTTGCGAGCAGTTATAGACACGCATAGATACCTAAATAAGCACACAACACTCCTGCTTCACAAATATGTCCCTCCATACAGATATTCGAGTATTTTTTACCCATCCCATCAGCCAGAAGGCCTTCTGGGAGTGCACCATTTCAGCAGCATTGGTTCAACGCAGGCAAATTCAGGACCGGTTTCGACACACAGCGTCCCATCGGTAGAGTCAGGTTTGATTAAGCCAACGCCGGTGAACTGCCAGGCGTTCTTACAGGCAAGGAGCCCTCTCCGTTAGACATGGGCCTGAGCTAGGCTAAGGGGAGCGAGCGTGTGGGCGCACGGTCACGCGTGTTCCCTACCGCCGGTCGATCATGGTGTAGCAGCGCTTGAGCCAGCCCAGGCCGGGCATGCGCCGGTGCGGCGTGGCACCGTTGAGGTACACGATCATGTAGTCCTCGGCCACGAGCAGCTCCAGCGTGTTGATCACGTAGCTACGCATGGCATCGCAACGCAACGGCAGCAGCAGCAGCAGGTCAACTCTCACCCCCCAACTACGGCGCAGGAGACACTCTCCCCTCTGGGTGTCTCAGTGGAGACTCTCTCCCCTCTGGGTGTCTCAGTGGAGACTCTCTCCCCTCTGGGTGTCTCAGTAGAGACTCCCTCCCCTCTGGGTGTCTCAGTGAGACTCTCTCCCCTCTGGGTGTCTCAGTAGAGACTCTCTCCCCTCTGGGTGTCTCAGTGGAGACTCTCCCCTCTGGGTGTCTCAGTGGAGACTCTCTCCCCTCTGGGTGTCTCAGTGAGACTCTCTCCCCTCTGGGTGTCTCAGTAAAGACTCTCTCCCCTCTGGGTGTCTCAGTGGAGACTCTCTCCCCTCTGGGTGTCTCAGTGGAGACTCTTCCCTCTGGGTGTCTCAGTGGAGACTGCCCCCTATTGATTTCTCAGTAGGGACCAGTGTGTGCCTTCTCTATTTGTTTATTACAAGGGTAACATTTATCGTCCGAATTTGCAAACATTACGTGCAAATTTCTCAATTGGAATTTGCATATCAATCCGCGCCTCCAATTAGCACGGCTGGCTATGTACGGTGCGAAAGAAGTTCAACGTGCTGTTCTGCTCCGGTGTGTCTCTGTGCCGCTGTGTCTCTGTGCTGCTCTGTGTGTCTCGGTCCGTTAGCTTCGTTCTATGGGTCTGTGTGCTGTGCCGCTCACAGGAAGAGGTTCTCCATGATGTAGCTGTAGTTGGGCTGCCGACTGTCCGGCATGTAGCAAGCGGCGAACACGATGATGGCGTTGAGGCCCTCTCCGTAGTAGCCTGTGGTACACACACACACAAACAGACACACGCACACAGATAGACACATGCACACAGATAGACACATGCACACAGACACACACACACAGATACACACAGACATACACACACAGACAGACACACAGACACATACAAAGAGAAAAACAAGGATCCCCCGTATAGCCTTAACAGACTGTAGGGGCAAGTGCTGTTAGCGAGCACTTATTAAGCCCGGCAACGGTACACGAGGGGGTGGGTGGCCACCATCACACCAGGCCGCCTTTGTCTCCCCAGTGGCGATGTTTACACACTGCACCAGGTACTTATTTGAGGCTGAGTCGACCTAAGATAGTCCCAGGACCGATTCAGATAATCGTCACTGGTGTTGGCCGTGAGTGGGAATTGAACTCAGGTCGCCGGGTTCGTTGCGTATCGCACTAACTGCTCTGTCACCGATCCGATAGACGAACATCCTCCGTTGAGTGAAGCCATACAATCAACACCAGATGGGAATTGGGAGCTAAAGTCCACGATGCAGCAGGGCGATATCCGGCCAATACTTTACCAGCAATTGTTGCCAGAAATATTTGGTGAAAAGTGAGCTAAGTTTTTCCCAATCCTGGCCCGCTGGCTGCAAAACGTAATAATCTGTCGCAACGTTATATCTCTAACCCTAAAATAGTTTACGACAGCCCAAATTCCGTGAGCAACTTCACCACAGCCATCGTGCGAGTTGAACACCGTGGAACAAGCGCCTGATTTGACGGGAGTATTTCAACCGCTGACTTCGCGAACGAGGCCCAGCAGCGGCGCGCCGGCGGTGGCTCACCACCGTGCGACAGCACGCGGCGGTACGGCTCGATGGCGGACATGTCGATCCGGTACTCCTGCTCGCCGATCACCACCGAGCGCCACAGGCTCGCACCGCCGCCCCCCGGCGCCGCGTCGTTGTCCCCGCCGCCGCGATCCGAGAGGCCCGGCGGGGCGCGATCTCCTCCGCCGCGGCCCTTTATCGGCGTGTCGTCTGCGCGCGTCACACACGCACGCACGCAGGCGTGAACATGCACACGTGCGTACGTATGTACATATGTTGAACTTCTTTTGTACTCATATGTAGCCAACCGTGCTCATCAGAGGTGCGGGGGAAGGACAACGCAACATGCACACGTGTATAGACACGCACGCACATGTGTAGACACACACGCACGTGTGTAGACACACACACGTGTGTAGACACGCACGTGTGTAGACACGCACGTGTGTAGACACGCACGTACGTGTGTAGACACACACGCACGTGTGTAGACACACACACGTGTGTAGACACGCACGTGTGTAGACACACACGCACGTGTTCAAGGTATTTGTCATGGAAACAAAGATGCCCCTGCCCTCCCCACCACCCCATAGCCTTAATAAACTTTTGGGGCAAGTGCTGTTAGCGAGCACCCCACTAGGTACTCATATAAAGCTCAATCGACCCAGATCCGGTTCACTGTTATTGGTCATAAACAGGAATCTAATTCAGGTCCCTGCTTACCGTGACACTACCGCTCCACGACACAGGAAGAGACACACACACGCAAATAGAGATCCCCCGCATGGGCATGCAGACGGCTGGGGCGAGCGCTGTTAGCGAGCACCGATCTATGCCAGCTTGGAGTATGGGGAGTGGTGTGGTCAGCGCCACGCCTGGCCGCCTTGGTCACTGCACCGAGTACGAGCGGAGGCCCAGGACCGGTTCAAATATCGCTCGCTGCCGATGCTAGGTGTGACCGGGAATCGAACCCAGGTTGGTGGATTCATTGCGCAGTTCGGCAACTGTGAGTGTAAAAAGGCTCGTGAAGGAAGCTACTGGGCAGTTGGAGGCAGCTGCCCTCATGCAACAGCGGAGGGCATAGGGAGCGATGCTCGGAGCGGAGCACTGGGTGGCTAAGACGCATTGAGGTGGCACAGGTGGTTGATCTACCAGTCGTCTCAGTCACCCCATAATGCCCCGGTCTGTCAGGTGACCTCCTGCACCGAGGGGGCTGGCACATTAGTCAGCTCATAACACCCGGCCGGGTCTATCCCAGCGAGCTTTCCACACTTCATGTGACAGCCTCGAAGTGTACCTAGACTGACACAAGCACTGCGGTGTCGTCACCGCCACATAGTGACGAACGGCGGTCGTCGTTGTTGCCGCGTGCGCGTGTCCGTGCGTGTGTCCGTGCGTGTGTCCGTGCGTGTGTCCGTGCGTGTGTCCGTGCGCGCACGTCCACTCACCCTCCCACTCGAGCTCGTTGCCCGGCGTGTACTCGATGGAGTCCGCCTCGTCAGGGGTGTCCATGCCGTCCACGTCGAAGTCGAGGTCGTCGGGCGTGTCGACGCCACCGTCGTCCGACAGCAGCGAGCCCTCGCTGCGGTCCAGCGACAGGCTGATGTCCGGCGCCTGCAGCTTGCGTCGCCGGGACGACGCGCCGGCGGCCCCGCGGCCTTCAACGCCGCCGTCTGAGACGCGCCGGGGCACGCGGAGGAACGGGCAGGTGGGCACGCACGCGGTTACGCACAGACACGGGACGACGGGTGTAGATGCAGACGGATGCAAGATGTTCGCACACGTGCATACAACCGGACACACACACACACAGATATATACAGATACAAAGACAAAGATCCCCTGTGTGGCCTTAACAGACTGTTGGGGCAAGTGCTGTTAGCGAGCACCTATTAAAGCCGGCATGGCACACGAGGGGGTGGGTGATCAGCACCCGCCCGGCCGCCTTTGTCTCCCTTGTGGCGAAGATTACACATCGCACCAGGTTCTCACTTAAGGCTGAGTCGGGTTAGGGCAGGCCCAGGATTGCTTCAGATAATCGTCACTGGTGTTAGTCATGAGCGGGAATCGAACTCGGGTCACCGGATTCGCAGCGCGCTAACCGTGACAGCTATCACTTCCGACACAGAGACATATGTACAGATACACGCACATAGACACATGCAGACACGTAGAGAGACATACAGACACGTAGAGAGACACACAGATGTTGCACCGACATAAACATACACAAATGTACGGACACAGACGCAGATGGACGCACACAAGCACGCGCACAGATACGCACACCGATGCACGCGAGGTCATGAGTGTGTGCGCACGACTGCGTGAATGTGATAGGTGCTCGCTAACAGACGTTACTTCAGCAGTGATAAGTATTCAATTGGGTGATATTTGTCTTTGTGTGTGTCTAGGGAGATCATTGGTGATCCTGACTTAACGTGTTCTTCACGTGTTCTTAACGTGTTCTCACGAAGGGCATCCCAACAGTCTCTGCAGCTTAACGGGAGATCTGTGCGAGGTCTGCGTGAGGAATCCGTTAGTTATGGTTCAAATAAAGAGCTTCATTGCGAGTTTTGTGAAGAACGATGCAGTCATGATTATTATGCCCTTTATACAGGAAAGCCTCGGCTTAGCCTCAAGACCCCTCTTGAGGAGGGTCTTGCCACATTGGGACGGTTGTCCGAGTCCGCGTGCTCGGCTTCGCGTGCGCGGAAGCCGCGGAGTTGCCGAAAAACATTTTTTCACAGAGATGGCTTCAATAATCCACTGGTGTACTGTACTGCCATCTCCTGGCCACCGCTTGGCATTAATGATCGCCAATGGCCCTTTGAAATCTGGCTCTCTGCTGATTAAACTAATTATCCGGTGATGCTGCTGCGATGGCAGTGGTACACAAGCACAAATAACAAAACCCTCAACCTTCTAAAAGGAAAACATATCATAGACGTTTCGGGCAATAACCCTTCTTCATAGCACATGACGAATGACCTCTCCAAGGTCAACTTGGTCTCTCCTAGGTCAATCTTAGCACCTGACAATGAGCACCTGGTGAAAGGGGTTCAAGAGAAACAAAGGTGGCTGGGGCAGGTAGGAGGAAGGATGCGATGGTGGTGCTGGGGAGCTGGCTCCATCCCAGCTGGGCTTTGCGTGCCAGGGCCCGGCCTTAGCCGGCCGTGGGGGTGCGCGTTAACGAGCCGCTCTGCGCGGCCGCCGCTGGCGGCGCGTGCCGGGCGAACAAAGCCGGGCCTTGTTATTCGCGTGCGTGCCTCACCAGAGCCTCTGAAATCCCCCTCGGGGGAGGACCCCTGCGGATCTAGGGGGTACGAATGCTCCATGTCCCCGTCTTCTGGAAGGGGCCTTTAACGCACGCACACACACAACAACAGAGAGACCACCCGTGCATAGCGTTAACAGGCTGTTGGGGCAGATGCTGTTCAGGAAGGGGCTGTGTAAAGACCGGAACGGCACGCAACAGGATGGGTGGTCAGCACCATGCCCGGCCGCCTTTGTCTCCCCAGTGACGATGTTTACACACCGCAGCAGCTTACTTATTTGAGGCCGAGTCGACAAAGGGGAGACCCAGAACCAGTTCAGATCATTGGTGTTGGTGGCCGTGAGTGGGAATCGAACTCGGGTCGCCGGGTTTTCAGCTCACCGCGCGAACCAATGTGCCACAGTTTGTTGTCCTTCCCCCGCACCTCCGATTAGCACGGTTGGCTAACGAGGGGTCATCCATTTAGTACGTACGCATGGAGTGGGGAGGGGGGGTTAACTCAAATGCGCTCGCTTGCGTATGGGGGGTCCACTGACAATGTACGAACGCATAGGAAATGGCGGGGGGGGGGGGTGAAGCCTCAATCATAATTTGTCTACATTGGCCTTCAAACACGTTAATATTATAAATCCTTGATTGTTTCTGTGTGGATTAAATATCGGCCGTTCTATAGGATTCGGGGGGGGGGTACGTCAAGCGTACGTACGCAGGTGGGGGGGGGGGGGTGTAAAAAGTCCGCGTGCGAACAGGGAGGGGGGGAGGGGTCAAGTTGACAGATTTTAGGTACCTACTCAATGGATGGCCCCACTACGGTGGCGAAAGAAGATCAACATACAAACACACACACACAGACATACACAGAGACAAAGATCACCTGTATACCCTTAACAGACCGTTGGGGCAAGTGCCCTTTAGCAAGCAGCAGACACTGTCATTGGTACTGATGAAACATCTCAATGGAGCGACCCTGCTGAAGACAAAGCTTTAGACTCAGTGTGTGTGGCCTTCCTACGAGGTTGACATTTTTATAAATATGATTTTTAGTTTGCCAGGTAAAGGCCCAACGTGCTCACCAGCTTTTTTTCTCAAAAGCGACCTGGCCACAATTGAGAACTCAACCAAGTGGCTGATCGTGGTATGGAAATGTATAGCAGCCAAATAGTCTAAACGCGTGTGTGATTCTGAATGTGGAAAAACCCGGAGGACCCGGAGAAAAATCCACGCGACCACGGGGAGAGAAAGACTTGCCAACTCCAAATATACAGCAAGCGTCAGGGTCGGTATTGAACCCATGTCCTCCTGTACACCAAGCGAGGTAGTTAACATCCCGCCATAATTATTATACACATTAAGGCGCATGGATACACATATTACAATATACCACCTGGAACATCCCTCGTGATGGTGGTGCGTCTCATTCACAAGGGTGTCCATCGCTGCCGCACGACTCGCCATGACCCCTGGGTATTGTAGTGCCCCTACACCGCGCCTCACGATCTCCGCCGCTCCAGAGGAATCGAACTCTCTCCCTGCCCTCTCGTGTGTCCGTGACCCCCGCTTACACTGCATCGTCGTCACCATCGTCACCGTCATCATCATTAACACCCACAATGAGAATCAGGGCTTCGTGTCAGCCCGACCTCTCCAGGTCCATGTCCACACACCGCACCCTGCATCACCATCTCGCTGTGGCCACCTGGGCCACTCTACCAGCGACCCGCAAAACTATTACCGCACCCGGCACACCACATCCACACTGACCATCTCGCTGTGGCTTCTACAGTCACGTGCCGCCTAGTCCCGTCCATAAGAGCGACTCGGGTAAGGTATGTGAGAAATTGAGCCCTGATAAGAGCATCAGTTACTAAAACAACAGCGGTCCTGCTGGGTTCCCACGATGACCGTGAAACCAATAACGGGCAGCAGCAGCAGCAATCGGTGCAAGCGGCAGGCGAAAGGCGAACAGTGACAACAATCCGCAGCGCTGCCTTTGTTCCATTCTGCTGCCACCGTTTGTTCGGTGGGGAAGCCCTCGGGGCGACCCCGCAGAAGCCTCGGACATGACCCGGACCTCATCGTCCAGCAAGCAAAAGAGTCGGCGCGCAGCGACCACGGGCAGACGGAGAGATGGACAGACACACACACAGATGAACAGACACACACACAGATGGACAGACACACACACAGAGGGACAGACACACACAGATGGACACACAGACAAAGATGGACACACACACAGATGGACAGACACACACACAGATGGACAGACACGCACAGATGGACAGACACACACACAGATGGAAAGACACACACAGATGGACAGACACACACACAGATGGACAGACACACACAGATGGACAGACACGCACAGATGGACAGACACACACACAGATGGACAGACACACACACACAGATGGACAGACACACACAGATGGACAGACGCACACACAGATGGACAGACACACACAGATGGACAGACACACACAGATGGACAGACACGCACAGATGGACAGACACACACAGATGGACAGATGGACAGACACACACAGATGGACAGACACACACAGATGGACACACACAGATGGACAGACACACACACACAGATGGACACACACACAGAGATGAACAGACACACACAAAGATGGACAGACACACACAGATGGACATACACAGATGGACAGACACACACACAGATGGACAGACACACACACAGATGGACACACACAGATGGACAGACACACACACAAGCCAGACGTACTTCACGCATTGGCACACACACACGGGGGGGGGGGGGGTGTGAACGGATAGACGGACGAAGCGGACAGAGTGCACGACACGGATGGACACGCACAGCAGACACGCCCCACGGGAGAGCACACAGACTGCCACGCTGATGGACAGACGAGCACACGGATGGACACGCGGACAGATCTCTGAACGGGCTCGCTGGCACGGGGGGCTCAGTGGACACATAACAACAATCAACAATCGCGTGGAAGCGCAGGGCCACTGAGCACTGCACTGTACTGGCAGCGTCTCAAGATGCTGCAGGGGGAGGGCGGGTTCAGGGGGGGGGGCCGGGGGGGGGGGTGCAGGGCGAGGGGCCGGGGGGGTGCAGGAGGAGGGGCCGGGGGGGGTGCAGGGGGAGGGGCCGGGGGGGTTCAGGGGGAGGGGCCGGGGGGGTGCAGGGGGAGGGGCCGGGGGGTCCAGGGGGGGGTTCAGGGGGAGGGGCCGGGGGGGTGCAGGGGGAGGGGCCGGGGGGTCCAGGGGGGGGTTCAGGGGGAGGGGCCGGGGGGGTGCAGGGGGAGGGGCCGGGGGGGTGCAGGGGGTTCAGGGGGAGGGGCCGGGGGGTGCAGGGGAGGGGGGGTTCAGGGGGAGGGGCCGGGGGGTGCAGGGGAGGGGGGGTTCAGGGGGAGGGGCCGGGGGGGTGCAGGGGAGGGGGGGTTCAGGGGGAGGGGCCGGGGGGGTGCAGGGGGTTCAGGGGGAGGGGCCGGGGGGGGTTCAGGGGGAGGGGCCGGGGGGGGGGTGCTGGGGGGGGAATAAATCCGACGAGGCCGCTGGGAACAAATTCCTGGCGACGAAACGAAATGGGCGTTAAAGACGGAGCGGTGGGCCAACGTTGGCCCGACGTAGCGCTAACGTCGGGCCAACGTTGAGCTAACGGTTCCCAACCTCGTGCTGACGTTGACCCAACGTTGGCCCCAAGCCCACGCACCCAACGCTGCCACGTCTATTGACTGGGTCGCGACATCGTCACAAGCGCTGCGAGCCCAGAGGCCGCGTCGCCCCCCCCCCCCGCCCGCACTGCGCCCTCCCCTAACGGAGACGATGGCGAGGGAGGGATGATGATGGTGGTGATGATGATGGTGGTGATGATGATGATGATGAGTAAATATTAGAATGTGGATGATGAGCGCTGGTGAGTATGAGGAGGAGCGGCGCGAGGTTTCACCGTCGGAGCGTGACGCGAACTCTCCCGCCGCGAGCGATGCGCGGCCCCGTCCGAGGCTGCGGCTTGTGTTTGTTATTATTTCTCTCGCGGCTCCTCGCGGCTCCTCACGGGGAGATCACCGGCGGCGGGGCTCGTCAACAAGGCGCGCGAACAGCGCAGCGCCCCACAGGAGCCTCCTCCCCCTCGGCGTCGTCATCGCCGCGTCATCATCCGAGCTCCGCCCCCACGCACGCACGTGGCGCGTCACCGCGTGATGCAGCGCCCAGGCCTCGAGCGGCAGCCACGCGCTCCCCTCTCTCTCCTCGATCTCTCTCTCTTTTTTTTAATAATTTTTTTTTTAAAACGGGGCTTTATGTAGCCCTCGTTCGCTCTCTCCCTCGCTCACTCTCTCGCTCTCTCGTTCTCTCTCTCGCTCGTTCTGTCGCTCATTCTCTCGCTCACTCTCTCGTTATGTACGCCGCCCTCCTCGCAGTCCGACGGCCTCCGACGGGCAGCTCATAACAGCATGCAGAGCTCCCCGTCATCTGCCACGGAGCACACGGCCTCCTCCATCGCCCACTGCTCCATGAAGGCCCTCTCTCTCACACGCTCCCTCTCTCTCTCTCTCCACTCCCGCTCCTCCCCCCCTCTCTCTTATTCTTGGGGCATGACATCCACGCCTTCTTCTTTTTTTACGATCAGAGGAAACAAGACGATGCTCGGTGTATTCGGCACTTTGCTTCGTTCATCATTTAGTTTTTTTATGTAATGCTTTGCTCTGCTCTCCTTACCCCTTCCTTCTCTATCTCTACCCCCTCTCTCTGTACCCCCTCTCTTCCTACGCCATGTCGCTCTCTCTCTCTCTGCCACCGTGGGGAGTGGTCGCACCTGCTGGTTGCTCCAGCCTTCCCAGGTGTACTGACGGAGGCCTGGGCTCAGCCTTTTGGAACGAGCTCGGCCCCTGTTTGCTAGAGCTGCTGGTGGAGAGCCTGCGGAAAGGAGAGCTCCCATTGAGCTGCAGGAGGGCGGTGATAACGCTGCTGCCCAAAAAGGGAGACCTGCGGCAAATAGAAAACTGGCGGCCTGTGTCCCTCCTATGTACTGACTACAAGATAATCGCCAAAGCAATAGCAAACCGCCTGAAAATGGTTG